GGAACCAAACTTTTTTTTTTTAGGCCTTATAGACCTGAGAAATAAATATATATTGAAATGTCTTCTTTTAAAAAGAATCCGTTATACACTTGTTTAACATGCAATACACATGCATGAAGTTCAAAACAAGAAGGGTATAGCCTTATAAAACATAGTTAGAGCACAGAAAACAACCCAAAAGCAGCCTACACTGCCTAGTTTAGTTTAATAATTTGCATAGTTATTATTGTTTTTTTGGTGTTCAGATTCTATACGTTTTTCCAAATGTTATTTAATAAAAATACCTGTATATTTTTTCCTCTCGAAATCTATTTTTCACCCCAACCCGCCCCCGTGACAGAATCGCGATACGAATCGAATCGTGGGTCAAAAATCGTGATACGAACCGAATCGTGGGTTTGGTGTATCGTTACAGCCCTAGGAGTTGCCCTTTAACTCTAATGTCCCCGCTGCATGCAACTTGCGCAAAATGGCGGACACCCGCGAACTCCACGTGTGTTACTGAACTCGCGTCACTTAAACTATTAATTTACCCATCAATATCACACAACCTCTAAATAACAGTACTGTGCATACTGTCTTTCCATCTCCATTGCATAATACCAATTATCGTTTCACATACGAAGTTTCATTGCCGCGTTGTTTCTGATCACGCTCTATCCACGGGTGATAACAATTTCGTGCTCAAAACTTACGTTACTTAACATAAATCCTAAATACTCAAATACTGAACATAACTGTTGGTGGACCCCTTTGACTTATAATAGACACAAGTAATCTTACCTGCAAAAAAGATATAACAGTAGCAACACAGTCAATCATCATCAGTGGAACATCTCCTAGTTGCCTCTATGCTAGTTGCACGTGGCCGCCATTTTGGATTTCTTATACGACACGTGAGTGTGCGGTCGGACACTTCCGGTGTGGTGAAGAGGTGAGTCCCCCTGAAGAAAGAGATTTTTTTTTTTTATTATGGTAAAAAAGATATAAACAAGAGTCTCATTTTTATGTTAAATTTAATCTTATTTCTTGGTAAATTTTACATACATAAATGGTCTGGAAGGACACCTAACATTACCACTTTAAAGCTGACTTGAAAATTTACTTTGAAACACTGAAAGGTCTCTCAAATCGCAAAGCAACCAGAACGATGGACATCTTCAAAGAATTGAACTCCTCTTATTTAATGTAACTATATATGTATAGTATACCTCCTTTATGTTATGTTTCTTTTTTTATTTTTATTTTTTATATGTAATCCTAATGTTCTTTAATTTCATTGATAAGAATGTTAACTTCAATGTTTCATATTGCATGATGCGTAGGAATAATTTGGAAAATATATGTGAATTGTTGTTTCTAATGTATTAATATATAATTTTGTAAATAAAAAAAAATAAAAAAAAAGTCCCCCTGAAAAGATGAGTCCCACCTTAGGACCCAAGCGATCCGATTGGTTCAAAGCTAGTTTTATGGGTAAACGCTTAGTGCCTGGTTACAAATTAGAGAAAATCAGTTTATTATAAGAGACGAACGTTATAAGGAGTCATTAATGTATTTTAACTTATATGTTTTATATATAACCAAAGCTGTAGATTGTAAATTTAAACATTTCTCGTTCTTATTGTTTTTTAGTTAGCTTACATAGTAGGATAGCATTTATCCGCGGCAAACGTCAGAATGACTAGCCGAGTTAAGGCTGTTCCAGGCGGGCTAGATGTGCTGCTGATCCCTGGTTCTGACAACTCCGAAAACGTCAGAACATGTTTTAAAAAGGCGCAATCTTTATAAATAAACCACAGATTTGAGCTTTAAACAACTATATTCTCGACTTAAAAACTCTTACAATTACATTTCATGACACAATAACAGTAATAAAATTTCGCGGACTTTCTCCTCTGCTGTTGACGCAACCTACTATGAAAAGCGCTAAACAAATAAACGTATTACTTGAAAAGCGCTAAACAAATAAACATATTACTTGATGGCAACAAACTGCTTTTATCAAGTTATCGTGAGAACATATTTAGATCAGGCATACTATGGGGTCCTAAGGTGGGACTAATCTCTTCACCACACAGGAGAAAGACGAAAATGATCTCTTATATAGTTGTTTATAGAATCAACTATATCATTTAACACTACTGGGATATATATTACAATCACACGAGCAAATGGCAATTAAATGCATGGATGCAGTCAGATTAATGAATAAAAATACAACTGTTCGCGAATAGAAGATTGTCTTGGGGGCTCGTTCTTCGTACGTTTCTTTAAAACATCCGAGATCAAATGAGACATCTAAGATGATATCATCGTGCTAATCATGATCCGGCTAATTGGGTTCTTCAAACACACCTGTTGTTTATGATTAGTATCGCTGGATTGAGTTATCTGAGATAACTGCGCGTTCTCGCGTTGGTATAAAAGGGGACATGTATCGATAACAGAACCAGTGATCAGCAGCGCTGCTATTGGCTGTTCAGCATGGCCAAAGAACACGCCCAGTTTTTCTACCAAGCAGAGCAAGCGCTTTTAATGCAAGGTTATGCCGAATTTCAGTCTTTAATTAAAACGCCAGGAACACCTCAAAGTGTGCAAAAGCCAGGAGAGAGTGCTGGCAAAACTAGAAGACAAATTAAATGCGTTTGTGGTGGACATAGATGTTTTAATAACTGATTATTATTTTATTTTTATTTTCATAATTACTTTGTTCATTGTAATGTCGAGTCACCACACTATAATAATAAACATGGTGAAAGTGAAGTACAAAAATATTCTACTTAATGGTAATTTTAGGCCTTATAGGCCTACTAGTGAGGCACTGTTAAATAAATGATTGTCTGTTTATAAAAGCAAACAGGAAAAAGGCTGAGAAAAAAACTAATAATGATGCTCCTGACCCTGGCAGAAGAGCTGACCCTTGGGTTGAATGTGAATTGCCCTGTTGTGAAGGGCATCCCTGGGTTCAGTTCTTCCAGACCCACATCAGGGACCAGTAGCAGCAACACCTTCATTACTGGGAAATGAGATTTAAATTATCTTTGTACAGTGTGAAATAATGTGTTGCGGCATTAAATGAAGTAGACCTATAATCCAAATTGGCTGATTTAGTCATTTCAACTGTTAAATCTTGAGTAATGATAAATTGCTTTGTCTTGTGAAAGTAAAAACTGATAAACGTATGTTAATGTAAAAAATATTTTGCCATGAGTTATCAATCACATTGCACTGGAGAGTGAAGAAAACTTCTCAGATGACTGTCCTTTGGAGGAAGTACTTTAATTTATTGATGGCTTTAATTGATTTCTACTTGTGCCTATGCCTATTATTTCTGACAGGAGTCCACATGTACAGAAGAGTCTGCACACAGCAGTGATACAGGGGTGGGCAGTGTAGACAACTTTTGCTTTTTATTTGTTGCATTTGTTCCCTATATTAGTCTTCAACAGAAAATAGAGTATTTTGAAAAAACAAAAATCTGGGGGAGAAACAGAACTTGACTAAGAAAAAATTGCACTAGAAATAGAGTTGCTTCAAAATAAACTTCAGAGTAAAATCACACAGAGTACTATTGCTGACCTTGCATAATATCTTTTAAAAAGATGACCGAATAACTGGCTTTTCTTTACAAAGAACTATTGAAATAAAACTCTAAGCAAACAGAGTTTTGCAAATTTGTCTTGTCTTTTATTTTAGGCTTAATTAAACTTTTTTTTTTTCTTTTTCTGATGTTGGCAGTGTTGTGTAATATGGCACATGCAATGTCACAGGCCCTGTCAGGTGCAACCCTCAGGGTTTTTAGACATTGAAATCTTCCCTTTATTGGCCAAAGCTCATGTCATTGTGTGCCCTTGTCCTAGAGCTGCATTGTAACTGGTCTGGGGTTTGGGTCAGGGAATGGGGTCATGAAACACCTGTCTCCATGCAGGATCCTGTTGTAATCACCTGTTTAATGGAAAAATGCAGTTCTCAGCATAAGTGTATGTACCGTGAGTTTGATATTTATAATTTTCCTTACCATGTTCAAATAATGTTCATAAATGTGAATCTCTTAAAATTCTTGAGTCATGCACAGATCCTGGCCATTTTGCTTTCACACTGATTTGTGATATAGAACATGGTCACACACCATCTAAAAGATTTTACTCAGTCAAATGCCTTTTGAAAAAAGTGATATAATATTCCAAATCTGGAATATTAAAAATTGTAATAGTAATTTGGCTGCACTGTATAAGCCCCCTTTCTGCTCACAAAATCCCTTCATTGAGGCCTTGATGGGAACATGTGTGTAGTCTACAGTGTATGGCACCAATCACGTAAGTTAAGCCTGAGGGACTGTAAGTCATAATCGGCACGGTCATCATGATTGCATTATCTTCATTAAAAATTATAATATACCCTAAGTTGGCAAAAAAAAAAAAAAAAAAAAACTAAGAGCACTACTTTGTGAATGGCACGACAGAAAGCTTATCAAGTTCTCCGCATCTCCAATAGTGTAAAGGAAGCCACTCGCAAATAATTTTAGGGCAATGCAAACATTTTGTGCTGTTGTTGAAGCCCGATATCGAATCGAACATTAATGTGCATTTCCAACAAAATAATAATGTATTTAAACGACACCCACGACGATCGTTTCACGAGAAAACAAAAATAAATCTCAGAAATTAAGCTACACTATCGCGCTGCGCTGAAGGACTTCCCGTATCAGCCGCGATCTAATCCTGTTTACATGAAATAAGCCTGCTCGCGAGCAGGTTCAAGCTGACGGACCTGTTGCTATGACAGCAAGTCCAGGATGAGCGTCGAAGAACCAAACGATCCAAGATCATGGCAAATCGCCAACAATCAAATCCAGCTAACTGAGTTAGCGACGTACGAAGAACGAGCCCCTGGTGTCCAGACTGTGTTTATATTCATTTGCAGTCTTTGGCCAGGCTAATATATAGTTTTCAGGGCCTTTAAAAAATGATTTAGCATGGTATCACTCTTAAAAACTGTGATTTATAATATACATTTTATTTCGTTGTATCATTTTCATTATTCACACACTGGATAATTCATCACTACAATCGGTAAATAATTTATTGTTGTACAATCAAGATTACCAATACTGATACAGTAGTTTAGTGTTATAATGAAGCTACTGAACAATGAATACAGACTGTAATTGAGGTATACAATTGCTGACCATGTCATGGTCAAAGTTATAGTTTAAAGGCACATTTGCAACTACCCACAAGCCTTTTAAATACTTTATGAGTTAAATGTTATAAAAAATATACTAGCATTCAAAAATGTCTTCATAAAAGTCTTTGGAAAGTTAAATGCATCTATCTGTACAGAATGTAAACTGCAGCTGGGCTTTCATTAAAATATATATATATATTATAAACACACACAAACACAAGCAGCAGCATAGAGCACACACACACTTTTCTATTAGATGCGGGATATGGTTTTTATCCCTGTCTGATGGATATGGCTGGAGTATTTGGGTGTTCATCGCTGGTATATGTTGACCCTGTGTCTGACCTCGAGGGCCTCCTACTCTCCCACAGTTCATAAGTTCATGAGTCTTCTGCTGTGTAGAGTGACACAACACTGCTTCCTCTGAACTTGCAGTAAATCATCCACACTTAAAGGTTAATTGTCCATCCTACAGACTTGAAACAGGCTATATATTACAGGTCACTCCTGCATCTTCTACATGACCACAGTTGGTTTTCGCCCATCCTGAGAACTTACACTGGTGAATAAAGTCTTCAGTACCAACACAAGCAACATCATCCATCCAGATTAACCCAGTGCCTAAAAGAGTCAAAGAGCCAAAAATGAATCTCGAAATTACATTTGAGTTCTACAACACGTATAATAATTTCAAACACTGCCTAGCAGTTAAACCCATAGAGTGCAGTAAATGTTTGCAAGCATATATTTTGCTACCTTAAAGGGATAGTTCACTTTGAAATTAATTTTTGGTATGTTTTATCTTACCTCAAGGGCATCCAAGATGTAGGTGTCTTTGTTTCCACAGTATTTTCAATTTTGATATTTTTCGGTCAAACCGTTCTTATCTGTCAGTCATATAACGGAGGTCTATGGTCACCACCTCAAAGAGCATGCACAGAGAGGTCCAAATTAAACATGATTTAACCCTTCTATTATCTTCATTTGTGTCTACACTCATTATCTTTGGGGTCTCCAGGGACCCCAGACAATAACATTTAATTTTTAAGCAGTATAATATATATATATATATATATATATATATATATATTTACGAATGTAATTTTACTCTATTTATTACTGTTTTTACTCAACATTTGTGCAGTTTTTGGAGGATTTTTGATATCTTTTAAAATTCTATAAATTAATAAATAAATATTTATTTAAATAGGATTTTTGCAAAAAAACGTCATTGTATGTAAAATTCACTTTATAAAAGACCCAGATTTCTAATTTTCATTCATGGAGATAACATGGATCATTTAACATGGTTTAATGTAAGATTTTTGACAATTTTTTGGAAATTGCAGTTTTAAAATAAAAAAATTATCACTTTAACCACTAGATGGCCTATATATATTTCACAAGTTTTTCCAGTTGGATTCATATCTAAATATTATAAAATCACAATTATAACAAAAAAACAACAACTTTTTGTCAAAGTTAAGTATTTTTTGTACTGACAAAAGTTTTTCAATAATGTTACATTATGATTAGAATCAAACCTGAACAAGATGTTACAAAGAGAAATGTTGGGAGTCTTTAGATTTGATAATTTATTTGAATTATCTGTTTTTAATATAATTCTATAATTTTAAATCAACGTTTCAGTTGATTTAAAAAAAGAACAAAAATCAAAAGAACAAAAAATAACAGAAATGAACAGTTATAACATATTGAAAAAAACACATAAAAATGCAATGAACTGAACAGCAATAACAAATGAGCATATAAAGCAGTAAAAAAAAATAAAATTGTTGTAATAAATGATTTCCTAAAAAAACTGATTGGATTGTGTGTGTGTGTGTGTGTGTGTGAACAATTAGGAACAATAACTGGTGGTGCACTGGAGGTGTTTACTGTTTACTGGAGGTGTTGGTATTTGAAGTGTGTGTGTGTGTGTGTGTGTGAATTGTGGATGTTTTTTGCATTGTTGGAAGTGTGCCACTTTATTTCTATGTGATCTGCGTTGTTTCTTCGTTGTTTCTGATTTTAATGATGAATTTTGTATATTCACTTTGCAGGGTCTCCAGGGACCCCGAAGACATATTTTTCATGCTAACATAAAAACAGATATCATTCCAAAATATATATTTTTTTGGTAGATCTAGACAGAGTTAAGAGTCGTAGAAAGTTTCATACCATTTGGAAAAAGAGAACATTTTTAAAAAATTGACCAAAAGTCATTTGCGGGTCAAAAAGACCCCAAAGATAATATGACTCGTAAATGTAAGTACAAATTGATGGCCTAAGACACGAAACGAGCGGTTTGTGTGAGAAAACGAACAGGATTTATAACGTTTTTACCTCGTGTAATCACAGCCACGTCCAACTGATCTGAAGGCACGGGCTCTTCGGTCTGGAAGTGATCTCTCGCGCGTGTACGTCACTCATTGTTTACACAGAGATCTCAGAAGTGTTATCCTTCACTGTGAAGATCTAAACATATTTAGATATACAGGAAACCGCAATGGAAGACGATTTCGATATATCAACAGACAACGTTGATTTTTTTTTTTCCGCAACCGCGCAAGAGATCACTCCCGAGTACTTCAGATCACTTGGACGTGGCTGTGGTTACAAGAGGTAAAAACGATATAAATCCTGTTGGTTTTCACACACAAACCGCTCGTTTCGTGTCTTAGGCCATCAATGTGTACTTACATTTACGAGTCATTAAATCATGTTTAATCTAGACTTCTCTGCGCATGCTCTTTGAGGTGGTGACCATAGACCTCCATTATATGATTGACAGACAAGAACGGTTTGACCTAAAAATATCAAAATTGAAAATACTGTGGAAACAAAGACACCCACATCTTGGATGCCCTTGAGGGAAGCTAAAACAAATCAAAAATTAATTTCAAAATATTCCTTTAACCATTTAATGACTCTGACCTTGTCCAAAGCGGCCTGTTTTGTGGATTTCTTTGGCACCACGGTAGCCCAGCATCCTGCACACAACGTCTCCATCGTTTATGTCCCAAACATCATCGCACACCGTCCCCCATCGAAGCTCATGCAGCACTTCCACTCGACCCTCATGAGGCCCGGAGCCGTTCACAAGCCGTACGAGAGTTTCTTCAACTGAAACATATACATTCATTGCAGAATGAATCGATTACAAATGAAATCTTACAGAGAAACAGATAATATCAGTCCCACTTTATATTAGGTGTCTTTATCTCTAGGGATGCCTTTGATTAACTTATAAGAGTATATTACAGTTTTTTCCAAATTGCTTACACGCTAAAAGTGGAACTTGAGGCTCGCTCATTGAAAACATTCACCCATGTACCTAATCTTCAGACCACGTATACAAGCACATAATATGCTTACTGCACATTCAAACTTTGTTAAACGTGTGTCTTGAGTCAGGATTTGAATGTAGTTACTGTTGGAGCACATCTGATCTCTTCTGGAAGCCGATGTGAAACTAATGATCGGAGTGATCATATCTGCAATGTATTGAGGCCCTAGGCCATTGATTGATTTATATATGTGATTTATTCTGTATGAGCTGCAGCTGTCTTATCGTATTTTTGGGAAGGACAGTGAGGAGTCCACCCTGCTGGTGATGAAAGCATGAAGTCTTGTCTAGAAACAAAGCATCTAATTATTGCATATTTGAGACTTTAGACAATGAGAATAGATCGTGTTTTGTTCTCTCTAGCGTTTCAATATCATCTCACTGCTTTTGACTGCTATTCAAGACATACGACGGTGGTCCCATATGCAGGGTTTGAGATTTCTCATTCTAAGAGTTCAAAATCCTAAACTCTACCACGACCTGCAACAGTGATCAGAGAAGATGATTTTGATTTCGTTGTCGGACTGATACCGATGTCACACAGTTGTTTTAGTCCCTGGTGTCAGGGTCAGATGATAAGAGCAAGTTCATGCAGAGAGACTTTAATGTTCAAAGTTTAACCTTTCATGACATTAATGCAGAACACACTGAGTACTGTAGATCAATCAGATGGTATAGTCAGAAAACATCTCGTAAATACGTTACAGCTGTGCGACTCCTGGCAGCAAACACACACCAACACAGCTGATTAAAGCCATATGCATGGGCCATCAGAAGGGTGTGCTCAGAGACTTTTAAGAGAGTAAGTATAGAGAATGAAAGACTGCATTAAAATCTAAAAGTTAATGGTAAAAAAAGGTGATACATTTATTAAAACTGTCTCATGATTGCTTAATGCATTGCAGAGTCTGTCAATAAACTGCTTTTGAGATCACCGGCGATCACAGCTCTGATGTCATGCCGATATATGCCGAAAGACTCTCGATGACGACGAGCGACTGCGCTGATGGATGGGAAAGGACTTGCTCATGACACAGCTAAATGCTCATTTAAACAACTGTGATGCATCGTCCTCATCTAAAATGTGTGATTTTATATAAAATAATGATTTTGTGTACAAATTATTTGTGAATATTCCCAAATACTCTGACAGTATGGGACAGATGACTGTCATATTTATTCCCCCTTCCAGGGGACATTAGGAATAGCACAGTGCCGGCGGGAAACCGTTTGTTTTTTTCAACAATTTTTCTAAAAATCTTCATAAAGGTTTTCAGCTTTCAAATGCAATATAGAAAGAATGAACCACATTGAGCCCTTGAAAACATCTGTTCACTATATCTGTATACCTTTGATGATCATATAAAGTGTCTGTCTACACAATGTCAGTTGCCCCTAAATGTCAAAAATCATTTAGGGGCAATTATTATTATTATAATTATTATTAAGGAATTATTATTATTATTTTATTTTTTTTACCCCCACCACCACCAACTAAGCCACTGAACAATGTGAGTCAATATATATACAATTTATGTGCATCCCAAATCCCAAAAAGAGGATCTGTGTAATCTGTGAAAAAACATATTTAACGCAACATATTTAAACCATGCCGCTTTTTAAACGGTATTTGCATTTGATTGTCATCAAATTATGCCTAATATCTTTTAACCCCTTAGCTGTCACCCCCCTTTTTGAGAATGGGGGTTAAAATGCACTATTCAAACTTAAATGGTTGTAATTTAAGAATGCTTTGGAATATAGACCCATATATATATAAGTTTGGTCTTGTTTTAAAGAAAACACTCCGCAGAATATTGCTGAAGTGAAAACACTTCAAAAAATAAAAGTATGAAAAAGTTATGGAAGTTTAAATTTACAGTAAATTAAATATACTGTACTTTATATTTTTTTATTTTATATAAAATATATATTTTATAAAATATTTTTTACTCTAAAATTTCTATAAAATCAAAGCCATACATCTTATCAAGTTATGTTCCAAATTTGAAGTTGATATCACAAAAATTTAAGTTGCCATGAGATTTTGTTTAGGAGTAGTACCAAAAATAGCCACCGGGTGCCATTGAATTCCATTGAATTTAGTTGTATACATTCTGCCTTAACAAATTAATACATTTCTGTCCAAATATCAATTCTGTCACAAAATTTGGAACCTTGAGACTCTGACCTTTCTGACAATATCAGTTTTGTCAAGATTAGAAAAGGTTTTGATCATAAATTATGAAATATAATGATGCCCAAAAGGGGAGGAGCCTGATAAAATAAGTACCGTTTCTATGGTAAGCCAACTTTCAATTATAAAACAGTTTTCACACGATGAATTCTGAGTTTATAAGCTTTCAAATGATACCTAATTTATGATAACTACTAAAATATGTGATATAATAAAAAAGGCGATAAAAAATAATATTATATTTTAGAGGATAATAAATATAAATATTATCATTTTTAGAGGATAATATTGTACTATAATTTTTTATTTTTTATTGAAAAATACTAGATTATATGTTTATTATGAACTTTTAGCATAAAAACAGAAGTTTCAATGATTAAAAGTGGGTCCATCGACTTTTTGTGACAAAGGTCAAAACTCCTGTTATGATGCAGATTTTTTGAGGTGCACTCTTGTCATAAATTCATCAATTACTCTTCCTACATAATTTTTCACACAAAACAGGGGTAGAATATCTATTTAGAAGTCTTAGACCTTTCTTCCAATATATAATTTGTCATAATTAGATTAGGATTTAATAGAAATATAGTGAAGTAAAGTTAGGCATCCCGGTATCGGGACGGTGACAGTTTTGAAAATCGTTCCACGGGTGTAAATCAAGGGGCCAAGTAGACGGTGGTCAAGTATTTAATCTTTTGAACAAAATACAACAACAACAAAAAAAAAAAACTTAATATAAATTATAAGAGATCTCAGAGGATGTAATCATTAACTTGACTTGACTTTAACATATATTAACAAAATACTTTCACAAAGCATAATTTGTAGAAAAAACATAAATAAAATGACTGCATGAATCAAATGTTCACCTGTTTTCCCTCCTTTGTCTCCACGCTCTCCCTTCTCTCCTTTCTGGCCTCTTTCTCCTCTCATACCTGCAGATAAAGCAGAGAGTTTCATTCAAACTTCATTCTTGTGTGATCAGGGGAATGATGAAAATTATACAAGTCGCAAGGAGCATGAGCTCCAAGAACCAAGTCCTGGTGGGTCAATATGGTGCCCCCAATAGGACATGTTTTTCATTCTCTCTGTCTTTGCACAACATTTGTGTAATACCAACAGTAATAGCACTAGCAACTCGAGGTAATTGATATGCCAATAGCTGGGTTTCATATGACGTCACGCCACTGCGTTGCCATGGCGCGACATGCAAATGGTGGGCAGGAAGTGATTTGCTGTATTTAGAAAGCACTAACAAACTCAAAATACCTATGTTTTGCATTGTTTGTGGTTACTTAAATCGATCAAACCACGAGGAGTTTTTAATCGTGTACCAAAATTTGTTGTTCATAAGTAGGGGAAATCCTAGAAATTGACAGAAAACTCTGGAAAAACGGCTTGCAAAACTTGTTTGCGGTAGGGAGGAGCCGAATGAACCGAAAATGCCCGTGTGTGCAGTAATCACTTCGTCAAAGATGAGTTAATACAAACTTAAGTGGCTATGTTTGTGTAATGTGTAATGTTTTCGAACTTTGTAAAGTCAAAGTGTGTCTGTAAGACGAGGTAGTTGCTGATATCTACCGCCTCGATGGCTGGAAAATCTTTCAGTTCAGTTGTAAAATCGCTCCTCTACATAAAATAAGGATCACATCCAACATATGTTTGATTTTTTTGTTTATATCTTTCTCTTGTAATAGCGTGTAACGTAGTACAGTACGGATTTTCCTCCATCTCGTCCATTGCGCTCTTCACTCCAACTGAATTTCGCGCGTCATCCCAGCTAGCAGGGAGCGTTCTCAGAACATTGGCTAACATTGCCTTTTAAAGAAATGTTCAAAGAATGTTTTATGGATGTTTTCTCTTTTCAAATAATGTTCCTATAAGGTTAAATGTAAACTAAGATATAACGTTTTAACTGTAACATTTTGAGGATGTTTTGGGAAAGGATGTTTTTGACCATTATTGAAGTCACCTGATGTTAACAAGCAGAATCACTAATGGAGAAAATCTCATTTTAATTCACCATTATGGTGATTGGTGTTTGCTTTAGTTGGGCTCTTGACCCTTAAATTATTAACTTTAGATTTTGTTTGGCTGTTATAATTGAGTCGTAACTGCCACATGAACAAAGGGAATGGTGTTCAGGTGTTGATTATTCTGGAACATGAAACATACGCAAGCAAGACAGCCTCAGAGTGAGTAAAAACAAGGGTCGTAACCGTGAAATGCCTGGCTTCTCATTTCACGTGCCTCGTTGCCTCTTCTGTCCACCTTCGCAGAGTTCGTAGGAAATGACGGTTATGTTTAACCGTAACCATCATTTGACTTGAATCACTAAACATCATTTACGTTTAGCAGATGCTTTAAACCAAAGTGACTAACAACAGAGGACTACAATTTAGATAATTAGGTTTACCTTGTTGATTACAGCAGCCTGGTGATTCTACAACATACAATTTGTAGCATTTTTAATAGAATCTTAAATATTATTAATATTTCTGTTCAAAAGATTTAGATTTTTTTTATTAAGTCACACGGCCATCAAGATTCAGCCTGTGAATCTCAACAATGGTGATGATAATAAACCATGTTGCAGTGCATTCTGGGAGCCACGGATCAAAACTCATTCATAGCTCCCAACTTAAAAATAGTGATTTTCTCCTTCAGTGATTCTGCTTGTTAACATCAGGTGTATTCAATAATTCTCAATCATCACTCAATTAATCACGTAATTATCTCATTAACATTTATCACTGGAGTTTATGCTGCGTTCCTTTTAGGAGAACATTCTGGGAACCAAAATAAAACTACCTGCTGAAAACATTATTAGAACTTCGTAGTAATGTTCCCAGAACGTTTTTAGAACAAAACATTTTTTAACTAGGATCATAATCACGTGACTGAAATCCAGCTATTCAGGTCCAGTGAGACGGGTTGAGAGATGGTAGACAGGTCTCCAAACCCAGTAGCACCAGAGGAACAATCAGCGATGTGGAACAAAGGTGGCATTTCTGCTCTGAAAACCCCAACTGAAACTGGGAGGAAGATGTGCATCCTTGAAAAAACACCACGCTGACCTGTGCGGGGTTTTGTGTGGGTCGCAGTCAGATATGAGAAGGCAACAAATTTGCATCCAATATGTCCAAATTTAGATGCAGCTGCCACTTGGGCTATTGGCAGACCAAGATGAAAAGGGAACAAAGGGTTCTCCACCTGCCCCTCCAATAGGGTCGCTCATCTTAGGGATGCCTCAAAGCCTTCTTCGGGTTCGTCTGATGAGCGAGCTTGGTTGCATTTCCCCCAGAAGCTCGACGCTGTGGCCGGGCTATAGGCTCGGACTATGGCGGAGCTGGTGTGGCTGCCATGTTTGTAGGTGGAATCACGCTGAAGGCAGATGTATGTCTGCTTCTTAACGGCCAAGAACTGCTGGAAAAAGTCCACAACAGTGTTGCCCAAGAGGCCACCTTGCGAAATAGGGGCTTCATGTTTTGAGCCCAGATAGCAAACATCCAGCCCACCCACGACAATCGACAGTTCATTCTAATATGGAGCCAGGAATTAAAAATTTGGCTTGACATGAGCCAAGCTGCCAAACTCATCCAGGATCTCCACTTGGCCCTACGTCCAACACGAGGAATGGGAGGTCAGTGAGGATTTACCCGGCAGAAATGCACCTAATGTTGTCCTCATTCTGCCCTCAGTGCTTGCCGCCGCGATCTTGTGCATAGCACAATAACCAGAATGGGTAGCGATTGAAGTGACTATCTCTCTAGCCAGAAAAGAGAGTTGTGAAAGATACATTGCCATGACCATAAACACAATGGGAACATACACACTGTCTCTGCGTGGGTCAGACCCAAACTCAAAAGGCAGAGATCAGGGCCATCCAAGGACAAGAAATGGTTGCCTTCGGCGGAGGCAACCATCCTCCGCTTCGCGTCGGCCGGTTCACGCCTCGCCGTCGTCCATTAAAACCTGACAATGAACACCTCGTCGGGTATTAACCCTTACTCAAGATTCAGTCCATTTTTCTTGTAACTATAATCCTTTATAGATCATCTGTGGGCGCAGATTCAATATTGATCAGGGGTACTCCAAAGGCATGACTATTAGCCAGTGTGATTTTCATTTTGCATTTTGCAAATGTGTTTGTCACCCCTGACAAGTAAGTAGCCTCTTAATAGGGTTAAAAAATAGCAATTTAAAAATGATATTTAGAATATATGTCAGTCATACACAGCCACAGTCTCACTCTTCTGGCCTATTGTAGTCAGCAGTAATCTCGACCAATTCACACTGATCTTTCCCAGCTGTTTGTCACATGCTGTGAAAACATGACGCATTTATTGCAATGGACCACAACCAGTGTGCTCACATAACTTGTGAGGCCCAAGAACATAGTGTATGTCACCGAGGATGATTCTATTACAAAAACAAGGTTCTGAAGTCCAATAAACACCAGAATGAGGCAATGAAAAAAGGAGAAATGGGTGGATTGTTTTGGTGGAAGTTGAGGAAAGATGAAGTGCGAGTGGAGGATGGTGTGGTGCTCTGGAGAACATTAGGGGAAATCATTATATGTTTTGGAAGGTGTTTAAGGACCAGCACATGTTTGGAGAATGAGATCAGTGAGTTGGAGTTTGAGCTGAGACTAAAATTTAAATACAGAGGGAAAATAGAAACAAAGAAGTAAAGCCTGAAGTCAGCTAGCTCTTTTGCCAGCCTAGAACCTCCCACCGTGTCCAAACTAAGTTTCTAGAGTCAAGTGAACAATGAACACACAACTTTTGTGTGGCATGACACATTCATAGTAAATAAGAACATATTTGATGCCTTATGTAGAGTAGGATGTCTATATAAATACCAAGAGAAAGTAGTCTGTTTTTAGACTAACACCTGAACCTGAAGGTCATGCAATTTATAATTCCAAAACTAAAGGAAAAAATACATCATGACATCATTTTTGAAACTCCAAGAACACACACAGCCCCCCTTCACTTGTTTCTATACTAAATTGTGACATAATGCAGCCTGTACATGGAAAACTCAATTGTACGCTTTTAGGAACCCCCTAAAAAGCCCATATTACACATTCCTGGTATAATTGTGGATGAAATTAGAAAAGTAAAATGTCTGAAAACACATTTAATGTTGAATAGGGTAGCACTAGGCTAACTGAAACAAAGATAAAGGGTGAGAAAAAAATGAAGGATATACATCTGTGTACCAAGCAAAACACTAGTTTTAATCAAAGCTTAATACAGTGAACAATACGTATTTAGATTGTGTTTACACTTTAATGTGCGAGTACAGGTTTGACTATACTTGTGAGGTCCAAAATCTCCTCACTAATATACACTGATTGACCTTAACAGGTTTTTTTTAGAATAAAATACAGACAAATTTACTGTTAATTGTACAGTTATTTACTGTAATATACAGCATGTTCCTGTAAAGATACCATGCACTAAATTAAAACTGGAGTTAACTAATTTCATTTGCAGAAACCGACTGCCTTAAATGAATCAACTGCAGTTTAAATTTATTAACTAATATTTATAATGCGCTAATAATGTGAACAAATTAAAAAAAGAGATTTCCACTGGACCAGCAACTACACAATCGTCGCCTCTTAAATAAAGCAACATATAGCACATCATCAATGTTTCTAGATCTTCTCCTGGACTAAAGCACATGCAACATTTTTCAGTAAACTATATACCTGTTTTTAACTTGGGTGTGTCCTTTTATCTTACAGTGTTAACCCTTTCAACCACACAGGAAAATGCTGCAGTGAGATTATTAAGGGATAATTAAGGAAATATGTAAGTGATTATTGAGCATTAGTGATAAACACCTGCTGTTAACAAGCATAATCACTGAAGGAAAGAGGAACACAATAACAGAAAATAGAGAAACACAAGTACTGCAACTGACTTCCAGCCTTTCCACATTATTACACTTATTATGGTAATGGTTTTTATACTGTACAAACTATATATTCAAGCCCCTTACACTAACCCTACCCCTAAACCAAACCTGTTTTTACATTAAAAAAAAAGAAAGAAAAGAAACTAATTCTGTATGATTTATAGGCTTGTTTCCTTCTGGCGACCACATTTTAGTCTCCATTGGGATAGAAAAACATGCACCTATTAGTTTAAATCAAGCATAGTGTTAGATCATCAGCTGGCTCTCAGCAGCAAGGAGTTATTGCCCTGAACAGACCATACCACAAATCCAAACTGTATGCTAATTATCAATCATCTTTGAAGATAGTGGTCCTGACAGAACTATATTAGTGAGATCAATTCATAGACTTCAATTGGTTTAATAAATAATGAAATTCTTTTAAATATTATGGTCAAAACACTAGATTGAAATAGAAACATGATTTGACCGATTTATAAGGTTTGGCAGAGGTTCGGCTCACTAGTGGCTGCACTGTTAACCCTTGCTGTAAAAAAAAGGTCAAAATCATTTTCCATCAAAACAGTAAAATAACATAGAAAACAATGCACTCTGGGTAATTTTTTAGTTTTTAAGAAAACAGCCTACAGGAAACTACAGTGAATTAACAGCGCTCAAAGTCGAACTTTTCAAAGTTTTCTCAGCTTCTCAAAGTTTTCAAACTTTTTGTATGTGTGGACCACTCTTTGTAATCAAGAATTTTCACGGACCACCTCATAATACACATATTATGATATTACAAATTATATTATATATTACCTACTATAATCAGGTTCATTTGAACAACAGGCTTATTTCCATAGCAATGGAGTATGAAATCTATACAGTAATAAGAACACTTGGATATAGCCAGCATTTCAAAACCTTTGGCGATTTTAGGGGATTATTAACGTTAATCTTCAGAGTTCTACAAGTCCTCAAAAAGTAGGCTTGAGTTTGTCATCTGTTATCTGCACATCTGACGACACGGAGCTTGAACGTCATGGCTGAGCGCCACTAGCCTATTTTAGTAATCACACAGTAGCTTGACAATTTAATTTACATTTTATATAAATATAGGCCAACATATTCTTTTTACTTTTGTTTTAATAGGAATTTCTTGGTAAATTATTAATTTATTTTTCCTTTTCAGATGTCAAGATGCAGTCCACATAGATGATGACAATAGGACGTAAGTATGTCACGCAAAGTTATTTAGTGCGCTCGCATAATTGCAGTGTGAATCCAAACCAAAACCTTCTGAAAGTATAAAATGTATCAAAATGTAAACTTTGGTTCGGACCTTGGTGAGGACGTTCAGGTGTGTAAACGCCCTAAAACTCACAGCATGCTCTGAAGCAATAAATCAAAAATGTTTTTATTGCCACCATTGTTGAGATCTCTGTGTTTCTACAAACCAGTGTAGTTGTGTTTTTTGTTGTGCTTGATGCATTTAAAACAATTGTCATTGTAACTGATTGATGTAGTTTGAAGCTTCACAGTGGTGGCAATGTAACACTTTTGATACAGGATTAAACTCTGAATGAGATTAGTGAATGAACAGACTATATTATGATTTTGTCATTATCATAAAAAAATTCAAAGAGTGTGTGTTTTTGTCAATATAAATAACCTAAATCTAACCTTTTGGTCCCTCAGGTCCAATCTCTCCTTTTTCTCCATTGTGACCATCCTGCCCACCTTTTCCTGCCAGTCCACGAGGACCCTGAATGCCCTTTTCTCCTGACAAGCCTGACAAAAATAAAAAGTTTCTTTAGGATATATACTCAAGACACATGACAAGTCAAGTCAATGGGTTGTGTTCATACATGTGGATGATTTAGAGGCTATAGCTGGTCAGTCAGTTGCTGGTGATGATGTGTTTTGGCTGTGCTTCACTGTGTGAGTGTGGTACTACACCTCTTATTCCCGTCAAACCAGGAAGTCCAGCTGGTCCCAGGGGCCCCACATCACCCTTTTCACCCTTTGGTCCCGGGGGTCCTAAAAAAAGAACAACAACATTTAACAATTAAAACAGAAGTGTGAAAAAATGATTCATTACTGGCTCTAACAGATTTCTAATGACCTAGACTAGCAGGCTCTGTTTCTTTGTACAGTCCAATTTGTACAATGGAGAACATGTTTACCCTGGTCTTTGGACTGTGTGTGTATGTGGACTACGAAGGATAGGACATATTTTCTGTAGACCTTTGGGTGAAACAAGTTCTTTAAAATGTATAATTATTATTATTTTTTTTTACAATACTCTCTTATAAATATAAGTAATCTCTTCATAGATTGATTCCCTCAAAAGTTTAATATTGTGACTCTGTGGTGCCCTCAAATCACTGCTCTGTTTGTTTAAGCATCACAACTTGTTGATTCACAAGTCGTCCTGACACAGGAATACTGATTCAACCAATCGTGTGAGTTTGGGTTGGGACTACAGTATTTGTTTGTCCAACCAATGGCAAATAGGGGAAATGTCACAGCCAAATTCTCAGCGTTTAAACAACACTGTTCAGTGTGTATATGTTTAGGGTCAGGGAGTAACTGAAGTAGTACTGGAGTTAATTAAAGTAGGATCAATCTACAAGACAATGACTGACCATTAATAATGTTTTCTGTGGCTTGTTGCATGAAGCTGGTTTCAGTTGCTAGAACTTGCTACCCAGGTAAGTTTGAGTTTAGTTGAGTGGTTTTGTGGGCTCAATAAAATAGACGTTTTTTTAGCTGGTTTCATTGCCATGGTAATGTACACTACACTGCTAACCTGCTGCAGTGCTAGTTAGAGTTCCAAACCAAAATTTATAAATAAAAAATATATTTATATATTTTGAGTAAAGTGACATGTATCTGATGGATTAAAGCCACTCCCTCTGTATCTCTCACACCAAATTAAAGCAGTTCAGAGTGAAATAATTTTAGAGACAAACTTGACCAACTTTTGCTGCTAATTATTTATTATATGTATATCATATGTAATTATTATGTATAATTAATATAATATTCTTATAATTATTATATTAATTTACAATTAATATCACACTTTGCTTTTAAATTTAAATATATAACACACACTGAACAAAATTATAACCGCAACACTTGTTTTTGCCCCATTTTCATGAGCTGAACTCAAAGATCTGAGACCTTTTCTATGTACACAAAAGGCCTATTTCTCTCAAATATTGTTCTCTCAAAAATCTGTCTAAATCTGTGTTAGTGAGCACTTCTCCTTTGCCGAGATAATCCATCCACATCACAGGTGTGTCATATCAAGATGCTCATGATTATTGCACAGGTGTGCCTTAGGCTGTCCACTATAGAAGGCCACTCTAAAATGTGCAGTTTCATCACACAGCACAAAGCCACTGATTGTCGCAAGTTTAAGTTCTCTAGGGCAACTAAAACACAGGCTATAAACATACCAAAGAAAAACAAAGGAGATGATCACAGAAACTCAGAACGAATGCTGCTCAAAACAAACTAGAACAAAAAGGAAACATGCACAGAAAGAGAACATAGAACTAAAAAAGAGCAGATGCCACAACAATTACAAGTGACACACAGAACTGGAAATCAACCGCAAATAAAATAAATTAAATCTCTCAATATCGTACATGAGGATGCTCGAAACAACTCTTAAAACAGCATTACCTTGTTCGCTTATTATAATTTAGTTTGGGTTTATTTTTTAATACTTTTATTATTATTATTGGCTCTTTCTGTTTGTCTCTTTCTATTATTATATAACTGGCTCTTTCTCAGCCATTGCAATCGTGTTTCTAAGAACACACTGAGTTATATTCATGGCACTTTTAATAAATATTAAAATAATTCTACAATGAAAGGTTTTTGATGAAAACATTCCAGGATTTTTCTCCATATAATGCTCTTCAATAAGAACGATGAATAAGAGAAAGCGAAACGATCGCTCATTTAATAAATAAATAACAAAGTATAAGTTTTATGTTCTGTGATGAGCGTTCGTGATCAAACAGTCATCAAAATGAACAAATCTTTTCCCGAGTCAACTCGTTCATTTAGTTTGTTGAATGAACCAAATGACTCAAAAAAAGATTTGTTCATTTTGATGAACGAGTTCGAACAGGAGAGTCATGAACGTGCTTCACAGAACAGAGCAAGGCGAGCATTTGAGCTTATAAAACTTAAACTTTGTTATTTATTTTTTAACCCTCGGGTGCTCTTCGGTCATTTCTGACCGAAAAAATTTTCTGTTTTGAAATTTTAAAAATCACAGCTTCATGGGAATGTTACGAAACTTGGTGACTTTTATGGCATTATGTATGTGAATACAAAAAAAAAATTTGAAGTCATGATCCGAGCATGCTAAGTGGTCATAAAAAAAAATAGTCACACTTGTGCTCTTCGGTCAAAAATGACCGACCCATAGGAAATGAATGGGAAATTGACAAAAACACAAAAACTTTGAGAATTTGTGTGTGTACAATCTACAAATCGGCCACGATGCAGAAAAAAAGTGCTCAGCATTGAAGGGGTGACACTCCAAAACATCAAGAGTGCAAAACAGACATACTCACCCCTACACACACACACACACACACAAACACTTTTATACCCAAAAACACCAATAAATTGTGATTAAAGAAATCTGTTTTGAATATTTAAAAATCACAGCTTCTTCAGAAAATTAAGAAACTTGGTGACTTTTATGCCATTGGGTATGTGAACACACAAAAAAAAATTGAGGTCATGATTCGAGCAATTTAAGTGGTCGTAAAAAATCAGTCACACTTTTGCTCTTCTGTCAAAAATGACCGACCCATCGGAAATTAATGGGAAATTGACACAAAAAAAAAAAATCTCTGAATTTTTGTATGTACAATCGACAAATCGGCCACAATTCTAAAAAAAATACACCGCAGGAAAGGGGTGACACTCTACAACATCTAGAGTGCAAAACAGACACACCCACCAACACACACACACATACAAATACACTTTTATACACATACACACCAATAAATTTTGATTACAAAAAGTATGTTTTGAATTTTTAAAAATCACAGCTTCATCGCAATGTTAAGAAACTTTGTGACTTTTATGGCATTATGTATGTGAACACACAAAAAAAGGTCATGATCTGAGCATGCTAAGTGGTCTTAAAAAAATAGTCACACACGTGGTCTTTGGTCAAAAATGACCCCCATAGGAAATTAATGGGAAATTGTAAAAAAAAATGGGAAAAAATTGTGAATTTTTGGGGTTTTTTTCAATTTTTTTATAGGAAATAGTTTTTGAGATTGTTTCAACTATATATTCAAATCCACCAACAACAAAAAAATGTGTTCATAAACAGCTGGGGAATTCACATGCCTCTCCATAGAGAGCTGTACATGTCATCTAGTGGTTACACCATTATTCTACGCTTTTTCTCTATACTGTAACCAGATGGTGCTAATTTTCTTCAAAAAATATTTTTTTTCTGAAGGCCTAGACTCTATATTAAACTAAAATACTGCATTAATATTTTTTTGGAAAAAATAATATAGAAAAATATATATATTTTTCCATGGCAAAAATAAACCATAAATATTGCATAAATATTAATAAATTAAATTAAATTGTCTTAAAATAGTAAATTAAAAATAATAAATATTGTAGAACAAAAATAAATTGCATTGGTTTTACTGGGATGGAGAAAGTTTAATTTTTAGGTGTCCGGTCACTTTTGACCAGGAAGATAACAAATGCGACTCCGAAACGAAGAGCACCTGAGGGTTAAATGAGCGATCGTTTTGCTTGATAAGACCCTTATTCATCGTCTGAAATCATTTAAAGCCCTTTGAACAGTTTGTACTGAAACTGTCTTTTGGACCTTGAACTGTTTGGTTCCCATTGAAGTCCATTATATGGAGAAAATCCTGGAATGTTTTCATCAAAAAACTTAATTTCTTTTCAACTGAAGAAAAAATGACTTGGATATCTTGGATGACATGGGGGTGAGTAAATTATCAGCAAAAGTTTTTTTTTTTTTTTTAAGTGAACTACCCCTTTAAGCACAATGGGCAAAACTTTCAACCAAACACTATCAGCTAAATTTAAATCACTGAAGAAAACTCCAGTGCAGGATTCAGAGGACAACAAATCACAGGTTGAGTTATGAAAAATATCTCTGATGATAAATTTACTATTACAACTCAGAAGTGCATACAAATTGTGTGTGTTATAACCAAGCAAGCAATGTGCATTCTTAAGACATTTATTAAAATCGTAAATTTTGAAAAGGCTGTTAGGAAAACCATCAAACACTTAACAGTTTAAACAAAAAAAAAAAGCTTTTCTCTCAGTAAAATTGTCCATATTGAGGAAATGATAGAAAATTGACAAGCTCCTACCTTGTAATACAGTTAAATTTTTGAGTGCCATGGAGTGCTCCCATTCCTTTAGCCTCAGATCTGCAGTGATGACGTTTAGGATTTCAATCTCATTCCTGATCTGTTCCTCAAGGTGTATTTGTGTGATCCTCATGGTTGTGGCATCATGGGACACATTTACAATCTTCTCCTGTAGTTCACAGATTTTCACCTGGTGCAGACTCAAATCTCCACTAAGTGAATGGTTTAATGTCTGCACTGTCCACCCCACCTCCTTCAGACGCTCCTGTAGAGTCTCTACGTTTACCTCCATTGTCTTTAAAACTGCATCCTGTGTTCGGATAGAGCCAGCAGCAATGGCCAACTCCTCTCCCAGACTGCTGCTGTTCCTTTGACTAGAATGACTGATCATGGCTAGATGTTCCCAGAGTTGAGCCACAGAGTCAGTGGTGTGCTCGGAGAAAGCCTGCAGATCTTTGATGTCACGCTCCAAGCCCTGTGCTAGTCGCCCTGGTCGTATAAGTAACAGAAGTGTAGAGCATGTATTAAATCACACTTGTACACATAAATTCATTTTTATGTTGATGTGATGTAGTATGTTCAAACTGGCAGCTCAAATAGAAAAGTAGGCATATTAGACTCAAGTGAGTACACATCAAAATCCCCAGTGTTAAATCAAACACATGGGTTAATGTGCTGATGAGTTGAATCAGGTGTGTTTGATTAGGGAAACACAGAAAACGTGCAGTGTTGGGGTCCTTCAGGACAGGTTTGAGAACCACTGGTCTACACGACAACACTGTACACATCAAAATCCCCAGTGTTAAATTAACACTTTAAAGTGTGAGTTATATAAACTCTAAGCAGAGTGTTTAATGAACACTGAATCGGTGTTAAAGTTAATGGGATAATTCAGTGCAAAATTGAGTGATGATTGAGCATTATTGAAGACACCTGATGTTAACAAGCAGAATCTCTGAAGGAGAAAACCGGAAATTTTAAGTCACCATTATGGAGATCAGTGTTTGCTTTAGATGGGCTCTTGACCCTTAATTCTTAACTTTATTTTTCTAAACTTTTCTAAATTTTTCCTTAATTCTAAACTTTTTGTTTGGCTGCAGTACATGAATTACAACAGCCAGATAAACAAAATAACAAATAGAAAAGGTGATCTGATGGTCTTGAGTGTGTTTTAACAAATTCGTTATTTCACAATCATTTGACCTGAATCACTGAACTCAAATATAGCCTAATTTCTTAGTTAGGTTTACTTTATTTATTATAGCAGCACTGTCCTTGTACAGCATACTATTTTTAACCTTTACAATGTAAACTAAACCATTTCTTAAAAGTTGTTCTTATACAATTGTACAATGTTTTTTGTCATCTTCATTTATATAGCGCTTTTAACAATGTAGATTCTTCCAAAGCAGCTTTACCGTGATAATAGGAAATTAAAGTAACAGATTGTTTAGGCTTTAGGACAGCTCTAGAATAAATTTATTTTCCAGCTAAAGTTAGTTTTGATTGATTCACTTCTGTCGCAACGATCATTAGTTATTAACTTTGGGGCCGCTAACACAATACCGTTCTAAGTTCTCTCTACACAAACTTTAAAATGCGAACCTGTGAGAACACTGATGGCGTTTACATGCATATTAAGAGTTGATTCTATAGGTGTGCACATTTGAATATATGTGCACAGGAATGTAGTCCTTCCCTAAAAAAACAACCCTCAACAAACTACTTGTCTGGCCTTGAAATTTATAACACAGAATTTTAGCTCTTGGGCATAGCCACACGAACCGGAATTATCCCGACAACACCAGGGATGTCCCTTTAAGACACACAGACATAAAAAATCAGCCTGTGAATCTCAACAATGGTGACAATTATAAAGCATGTTGCAGTGCATTCTGGGTAACACCAATCAAAATCATTCATGGCTCCCATCATGCATTGCTGCATCAATAAATAATGAGCTTATGTGGAGAGGTGATCTGTTTGTCACCATTGCTGAGATTCATATGCTAAATCTTGATGTCCGTGTGTGCCTATATATATAAAAAATGTAAATGATCTGATCATTTGGATTTCATTGAAAAGGCTAAACAATGTATGCACTACAAATAAACCATTAGCTAAACTTAACTCATAAATTATGCTTTCCACTATTTAGGTCAAATAATGATTATGTTAAAACACAACCAACACGCAATGTAGTCACGCAATGCTGATGTTGTTAACATTAACAATTTGAGAACAAAGTGTAATTTGCACAGTTTGACGTGATATGATAACTGATTGTTACATTTAATCAGTACGATTTACTGCAATGTTTTTTTTTTAGTTAGTTGGTCAGAAGAACAAAAGTGGATGTTACTTGTTCAGATGACATTCTAGGGGGAAAATTCTTATGTTGGTCATGCTTCCAAAAAGTTCAATCTGTGATTCTGTATGCCAGTATCGACACCGATGTGGTGATTGACAGCCTCACACTCTCCTCAATGTGTTCATACGCTGTGCTGTGCCGAGCCGAGGTACAACTCACGTAAAGTTGATAATCCTGCAAATGACTGCAATTGCAGATTTCAAGCAGAGATGACAACAAAGAGGAAAAACTCCAGTACGTTGTATCAAATTATTAATTCAAATGTTAATACATAGTAGTTAATGTAGTGTGTAGTTGTAAAGTAGTAGTGTTTGAACAGGATTTATTACAATAGAGCGTTTCTGCTGTAGTGGGAGAGGATTTAAAATGAAAGCTCACTCTAGTCAATGGCAGATGAAGCGAAGGAGAAGAGGTGGGGTACTTGAAATAATGAGAAAGAGACTGCTGTCTCACATTCCACTAGCGTCCATTTCTTAGTTTGGTCTCTACGCAACAAGAAAGAGGAATTGCACGCACATGTTCGTTTCCAACATGAATTTAGAGACAGTTGTCGGAAATCGGACTCTGAAAAAGATCTGTTAATCTATAGATTCAGTGGCCTATTTCGTACTGACTGTGATGCAGAGATAACTGCCAAGATGCAGGTGGAGGAGTATGTTTATACGTGAACGAATGAAGTTTATACGTGAATGAAGACATTGAGATGTTCATTGTATCCCTTCAGCCACATTACTTGCCGAGAGAGTTTCCCCAAATATTTGTGTCTGTTGCGAATGGAATTGTGACCAAAGGTGAATGCAAACTTCTACAGTACATCGAGAAGAGAGTCACTAAATTTCAGTCATTATCTCCATATTTTTATGATGGGTGATTTTAATCACTGTGCATTGAACAATGAGATATGTAAGGAATATGCAGCGGTGTCACATGTCCAACTAGGCATAATAGCACATTGGGCCAAAAATATGGCTCTATGAAGGGAGCATAAAAATGTACCATACTCCCTCCATAAACACCACCAATCTTTGCACGCCCTTGAATACGTATACCATCTCCATTCCTTAAACCACTAAAGCTATGTAATGAGTGAGTATGAATAACTGATTTAACAGATGAAATAACTCCAAACTTGTAATTTATTAATACTATAATACTAGTATAATATTATTAGTATAATTGATACTAGTATAATTAATACTATACTCCAGAGTGACGAATCCTAAAACAAGCTATAAGCTGCATTGCCGTAGCTATAACAGTGTTTCCTATAGGATTTTTGGCAAAATTGTGGCTGGTGGACCTCTGTCCCTCTAGGCAGGAATTTTTGTCCATTTTAATGATCAATCTGGTGCACTTTAAGAGCTCTAACTCATATTCAGTGTGCAAATTGAACAAAGAAAAACTCAACCCACTTTTAGTTGTGATAGTGTCTGTCTACATTACACTATTACATAATAACAATTATAAATATTAATCCCATGACTGTATTTATTTTTTATTTTTTTGTAATTTCAACTGTAAAAAACTGTTAAAAAGCAACATAAAAGACATGTTAATTGCTTAACAGTATGTGCCATTAATATATAAATGACATACTTAATTAACTCAGAGTAATTGCAGTTACTGCTAGCTCACAATATCACACACAAAGTCAAATCCAATGAGTTAAGATAACTCATTTCATTTGAGGAAACCGATTGCCACAATTCATTTAAGTTTATAAAAACAATTGTCATAATCAAACCTTGACCATCATCACCCAATCATACTTTTCCTTAACTTTTGTGCCAAAACACGTTTCATAAACACTCAATTACAAGCAGCCAAATAAAAACTTGTACTCAAACATCAAGAGTCAAGAGCCCAACTAAAGCAAATGCTGATCTTCATCATGGTGACCTTAAACCTTGTATTTCTTGTGTTTCTCTTTCCTACAGTGATTCGGCTTGTTAACAGCAGGTGTTCATCACTAATGAGCAATCATCACGTAATTGATGATTAATTAACTTAACTATACAATTATTATTCATGCATCATTCTGGGATCTAGAAATGTTCAGTTTCAGTCATTCAATCCACTTCAAGTTTCAGTATTATTTGATTGCAGTGAACTCAATTTAATAGAGTAAATAATACTGTTAGGTTTTACAGTGTGAAAAACTGTAATAGCTCTCATGAGACATTTCATGTAATTACAGTAAAATCCTGTTAAATGTATGGATTTTGGAAGTACACTGTAAAAAAAAACCTTACCGTTGTATTTACCGTAAAAAAAAAAATATATTATTTTTTACATCATCATTGAACTAAAATTTACTGTAAAAAAACTGGCAGCTGTGGTTGCCAGTACTTTAGTGTAAAAAAAAACCAGTAGGATAATAAACTGGCAGCTGGTTGCAAGTGCTTTACCGTAAAAATATAGTCGTAATATTTTAGGTTTTATGGCATTGAACTTTAATTTATGGTAAAAAAAAAAAGCCAGCTGTGGTTGCCTGTAATTTAAAAATATTGTATTAAACCAATTTGTCACACAGTGTATTATTGAGAATTACCAGAGGTTGAAATGTTAAGTTAAAGTTGTTAAAGTTAAAGTACACAACTAAAAGTAGACTGGCCAACTGGTGGGCAAGAAAATCAGAGAGAAAATGAATCAGGTGATGTTGGTTATGTATTGATTATGACATAATCATTATGTAGTGGCCTGATTCGTCTCAGTCTCTGTGAACTTTTTTCTGAAACGCGTTTCAAAAATGAACCGAAACTCAGCGAATACTTGCCACACAGACATGAAAGCTTGAAGTGTCTACTTTTAAATAAAATAAGTCATATCGAAAAGGAAATACTCTTAGTTTATGTAAACCATATGAAATCAATGAGAAGTCTTCCCTGTCTGACCTCATTATCTCTAATACTTCTACACCCATGCGCAGCGCAGCCTTTCAAACACTAATCGTCCAATCGCCCCCATCACCTCAATAAACAAACATCAGGCTTCATCATCCTCTGCTTTTCATCGAGTTTGGAAGACACGCTGCGAGTTTACCTTGAATCGCACTCAGAAGTAGTAAAACGCGATTGATCCAGTGGAGGAAAGTGTGTCGAAAATTTAAGAGGAAAATTAAGAGCAAAATGTGTCGCTGGAAACATGTTGAAATATGAAATACTGTACAAAAGTGATTTAGGTTAATCATCCTCTGCTGAGATCTTGAGAGATTTAATGTCTTATTTTACCATTAATTGATTTCATCTAAGGCTGTGGCTGAAGTCAGTTGTAGTTCTTGTGTTTCTTTTTCCTTCTGTGATTCTGCTTGTTATTTTCAGCTATTTTCAATAATGTTAAATCATCACTCTCTTATATTTTTGTATATTTGTGGACATCCCAGGTTAAACTTCATGACATGCACCTTTATTTAAAGGAGAAGGCCTGGTTTCTAATCAACAAGCAACTTGCACGGTGCAAGTGAAATCCACTCTGAATCCACGTTTGCCAGTTTAACGACGGGAAAATGGTCGGCGCCCCAAGTGCGTGGTCTAAAAGGGTTGTCCCTATGAGTAATGGGTGTGTTTTGGGCATAATGTGGAATAAACCAATCAGAGTCTCATCTCGCATTCTCTTTTAAAGCCAGTTGCGCTTGTGCCGTGGCAGATTCGTTATTTACATAACTGAATTTGATAGTGGAAAGACTGAACGCGTCTCCAGAGAGCGAACGGATCTGCTCGTGCGAGAGGTTAAAGTGAGCAAACAGACCTAGCAACTAGCAAAAAACACTCTCGTCACACCTGGTGCTGCATTGTGCCTTGTGTATGATATGGCCCAAAATTGTCATTTCTATATATCAAGATAAAATAAGAATATGGTGTCACTTGCTCTACACAATTAAATACAAAAAATGTGCAAGTAAATTGATGGGTATTATTAAAAATGTGTTTGACTAACAAATGGGTATAAATAACTTTCTAGACTCTTCTGCTTTGCATTTTGGCGGTTACCAAGCTGTTGCAGCTGTTCGCTATGATTATGGAAGAGGCTCTCAAGCTTCCAGATGTTCTCCAGAAGGTCGTCGCTTTGGGAGGGGAGTTGGCTGAGAGATCTCTGCAAGGTCTCAGTGTGCTCTCCCAGACGAGTCATATTCTCCAGCAGTGCTTCCTCCCTCTGTGAAGATGCATGGGATTTTGATACTGGAAAGGGATAAATGTTGAAAAAAAATGTGTTATTTTAAAATGGCCAGTTACAAATCCCACACTGCTGCACAATCTCAAATTATCCGGGCACCTGGATGGTGTTCTCCATCAGTAGACATTTGGATAGCTGGATAGATTTAAATAGTGTTGTTCAGTGCTAGCTGTGAACAGGTCTCACTGCAGCTTTTACAGACACTGACACCAACCTTATCAAGATCACACAGGTATATACCTATCTCTGCAGAACACTAGTGGATGTTTCCCAATCTGTGGGCCATTTTCATCTGCTTTACCCAATGTTTCTCCAATGCACTTGGTTCAGGGGTGGGCCTTCATGATTTTAGCAAGTCGGTTGAAAACATCCATTGTAGTTTGAAAATGTCCTTTGATTGGTAAAAGGCCATTTTGGTTTTGCATATGTACTTTTTGGGCATTTGACAACAAGTTTATTTATATCGCACATTTCATACACTATGGTAATTCAAGGTGCTTTACACAGAAAGGAATTAAAATAATCACAAAATAAAAGCAAGGAAAATAAAACAGTTATAAAATGAATTTAAAGATATTAAAGATACTTCATTTATAAAAGGAATTAAAGGAGTAAAAAGATGATACATAGATACACTTCTCATTTAGCAAGAACGGTGTATCTAGTTCGGTAGACTTCACCTAAACCGAGACCAAGACACTACCAAGACCAGAGAGTATCTAGACCAAGACCAAGACCAAGACCAAGACAGACCAAGTCGAAGGAAAAAACAGACTAGTGTTGTTGAAGCTAAGCAGATTTTGTTTTGCATTGCCTGCCGATTTCGAAGTCTCCAAATGAATTCATTCTGCAAATTTTAAAAAGCTTAAATCCAGGATCCGAAAGTTGGTTTTGTTTTGTCGCTATGGTTACACACACACACACACACACACAAACACACACACATCATCTGTCAGTTGCAGTTACCCAAAATCTCTTAAAATGAAGTTAAATCCCATCATGTCACTGATATGTGTTTTACTAAATATTACTACATCAAAAACTGTACATCATGTGTTTTTTAAAGCGGTGATGAACTGAGAAATCAAATTTTCCTTGAGCTTTTGACATCTAAGAGGTCATCATATTAAAAGAATATCCTGTAAGTTTCAGAACTGAAAACGTTCTTGTTAGTCCAATAAAAGCTTTTATTGACATCAGCCGCAGCAAACGACTCGTTTTTCAAAGTGGGGAACTATGACGTCAAAGAGGATAAAACACCACCCCCGCAGAAGAAGATCAACTTCTACTTCAACGCGGCCGGTTTAGCCCCGCCCACCGATTCGCGCATTACACGCATACTTTATTTTTAATGACGTTCCAGCTGATGAGGGTAAAACATTGTCCGTCTGTTCGCTTCATTTCACTGAGGATTGTTTTGTAAACAAGACTGGATTTGCAGACGATTAAGAGTAAAGAACGGTGCTGCGCCGTCTATATTGGACCTGACAGGAATTGTGCAACACACGGACTCTGGGTCGAACATGTATGGGCGAATAACTCCGGTTGCCATTTTACAACATTGGACGTTTTCAAAACAATTTCCCCCAAGTGAGTTGAAACTCATTATAATATGCAAAACTGTTATCCACTCACAGCGGTGGGCATTTCCTTCTAAGTCTTCAGTGCAAGACGCCCCGAAAAACCGAGCGTTTTTCAGCCAGGCTCAAAACTAGGGTAGAAAATAGCCTATTTCCAATTCATTTTGATGTTTTTGAATGTAAAAACCAAGCGAACATCATAAGTTGACCTCGGACAACAATATAATAAAATTTAAAAAGCCAGTTCATGACCCCTTTAAATCAAGTGATCAAAGTGCTCGTTGCCGCTGCGATCAGTGGAGCGGATTCAGTGTTTTCTCGCGTGGCTCGCGTACACCGCACTGTCTACACTCGGACACGCTTCAATCCATTGCGGATATCGGCGTGGATATTGTAGTATTGTATTTCTAAATCCCCGACCACTATGTTGGTCTGAAACAGCGAGACCTAGACAAGACGAGAGGTCGAGACCAAGACAAGACCGAGACCAAAAACCGCCAAGGACCGAGACCACGTAAAAGTCATTAAAACATCACTATTTTTCGGCGCTCCTAGGCAATTGGACGTCTCCAATAGGTCTAATTTTTCCCTAAAACCACACAGGATGAGTTCTAGGAAAGGAATCGATCCAATCCGCACCCCACATGTTTGTACAGGCTATAGGACTGACTCCAGTCCGCACCCATAGAACTCTACCTTTGACTCAGGTCATCAAAGGTCAGTAGAGTGATGCGATACGGAAAATAAATCATGCTCACTTTCCTCTTGACCTGCTTTAATTTCATTTCTTTTCATTTTAGTGTCCTGGCATGTGTTTCCATAATATCCACATAGTTAAATCTCTACACAAGATGCCTGAACTGCTGCTTGGTTCATGTGCAGTAATTTAAACAGTGTGTGAGTCATCTGTTCTAAAACACTCCAAATCAAAAGAGCACTCGTTTTTTTTTTCCATGTTTTTCTCAACCCTTTCCCCCTTCTCTTGTAGATCCGTCCTCCCTCCCATTTCACTCATATTAAATTTCAAGCAAACAGATGAATGATGTAATGGCTTGTGCAGTGAATGACTCATTCAGCTGATGTGTGTGTGCGCATGTGTCTACACTTCAAATAAAAATACCGAATGGTAGATTTACAGGGTTTCTGCATGTTTTGCTTTATGATACAGATTATTTAAGTGGCAAACCAAAACAAAACAAAAAATGTCTTTAAAAAAAAGCAACTTCAAAATATATTTAAACGTTTTTCGAGGACGATGGCATGTCATCATGTGACTGGTCCATGTTAGCGCTTATCTAAAGCAGAGTGTCGTGGTATTAAAATGCTAGAGCACAAACTGAAGCAGACCACTGTCTGTCGTGACTGGATGAAGGAGTGAATTTCTATACTACCCATTAATCAGAGCAAATTTGTATAGTAAGATCATTATGTTAAAGGAGCGCACAATAAGGAGATGTTTATGTTGCATGCCATAAAGACAAGTTTGCGAAACTATATGTCTCTCTATCACTGTTTCTCTCTCTCATGGTATCAGCTGTTGCTCTTCATTAGAAGGTCTTCATGGAAGTTACACTTAAAGGACTAGCAAGCCAAAATGGAGGCTAGGATTAGCACCCAAAAAGACAGATGTCTGATCAGGGGCCGTATTCACAAAATATTTTATCTTACCACTAGGAGTACTCCTAAATCGCACTAAAATATTTTAGCTAGGAGTTTCCTCTTGAAAGTTATTCATAACGCCTTTCAGACCTACTCTTAGTAAGGAAAAATGACAACTCCTAAACTAAGAGTGAGTCTTTGTTGCTATGGATGACGTCAATTCTCATGCACGAGCTTCCTCGCAATGATCACGGTGATTGGTTGTTAGACAGGGCCATCATGCGGAACATAACACAGCAACAAACCATGGAATTACGACATCTAAATATGTCTGTGTCCTACACAAAATAATAAGGAAAAAATGAATGTCATCGAAATATAATGACATGTTACACTTCACTGAGGCAGGCGAAGGCAGAGAGAGAGAGAGAGAGAAAAATCATGAATGAAATTATTCAAGGTAGCCTAAGGTGTTCACCTATCGCGTCTTTTGCGCGCTCAAGTTCGTTATTTTAAATGTAGGCACGCGATATGCGCCCGTTTTTTCCAAGCGCGTCCGTATGGAGCGCACCGTAGGTAATGTGATAAGAACCAACCGAACCGCAACCGCCTATATGTGAATGGTGCCTAATACCCTAATGAAAACCTTCACTTGCCTAATAATGAAAAACGACACTTGCATTGGTTAATTGACATGATATTAGCCTAACTAGACTATTTAAAGCAAGGACTATTAAAACACTTTAATAAACAAACAAACAAACAAACAGGTAAACCAGGGTAAACGACAAACAACAAACTAAACGACAAACTAAAACATAGGGCTTAAACACAAGGGAACACAAGCTAAACAAGATAACAAGGGCTCCTGGACAAAGGCTTGTATGCCAAAACTTTTCTAAAGAGAGTGCCTTGGATGTTCCTGTTGATTTATAAGATAACAAGGGGGCGTGGTTAAACTGAAACACTTGGGGAGACTAATCAACATAATGGGGTACAGCTGAACATGGGACAAGACACATGGCAGGATCACATGACAGACAACAACAAGAAACACGACAAAACCACAAAACGCCTTGCAAATGGTCAGACAAAGGAAATGTGATTGACTACATTTAATTAAATGTGCAACATTTTTAAAGAGTGCCATTGAACAGAAAATATACAAATTATACAATATAATTTAAAGGAATTTCAATGACCAATGTCTATTTCAAACTTTCAGCAGTGCTGTTATGAAATATAAATAAAATATCTGTAAACAAAATGCACAAATAATAAGGACTAAATAAATAATATACAAACTTCCAAGGACCTTAGGGAACTGTGGAAAAGCATATATGTTTCAATAAAACGTATTTGTGTAATGAAGTTGCAGTAATTATTTGTAAATTATTAAAGATATTTTAATTGAGCTAAACAGCTATGCCATGCATGTCCACATGGTTGTTTATTTGGAAACTATAACATGTAAAATCATATATAGCCCATGTGTATGTATATATATATATATATATATATATATATATATATATACACACACACACACGCACACACACACACAAATCTCTGAGATTGTCTGCAATATATTGTCTGCTATTTTATTTATATATTTCCATATAATTTTAAATATATTTAAAATATATTCCACAACATATGGAACACATATCTATACATATATTTTATTTATATATTTCCATATAATTATACATATATTTAAAATATATTCCACAACATATGGAACACATATCTATGCATATATTTTATTTATATATTTCCATATAATTATACATATATTTAAAATATATTCCATAATATATTGAACTCATATCAATACATTTATTTTATTTATATTTCCATATAATTATACATATATTTAAAATATATTCCACAATATATGGAACACATATCTATGCATATATTTTATTTACATATTTCCATATAATTAAACATATATTTAAAATATATTCCACAATATATTGAACACACACATACATATATATATATATATATATATATATTTCCATACAATTTTAAATATATTTAAAATATATTCCGCAACATAAGGAACACATATCTATACGTATATTTTATTTATACTGTATATTTCCAATTAATTTCATACTGTATATATATATATATAAAAATGGCTGTGTCTATGTTATGATAGACCACACACCTTTAGAATAATATTTTTAAATCAATTTTTAAAATTATTATTATTATTTTAAATGATTATTGTCCCTGGTTCGTTGGGGTACTATTGTAAGAAAGTAGCAGTGGGACAGACTTTAAAATGACCTTTGCTTAAAAAAAGATGCAATCTAATCCTGTTCACATGAAATAAACTTTAAGCTTCAGGATCTGTTGCTATGACAGCAACTCCGGGATGAGCTTGAAATCCAGATAACAGAGTAATAGGCTACACGTACGAAGAACTGCCCAGCACTTACAAAGGGAATAAATACCTAAATCTCTGTGGTATCTTGAGTTTATTAGGGGTCAGTCCACAAAAGCACTGAATCCTCGCCGTGAGTCCTGCTGTGGGCTAGATTAAATTGTGTCTGTGCTCTAACTTCAGGGTAAGGGAAAAAGGAAATCACAGAGTCAGTTTTTGTCTTCCGTTAAACAATCAATCACTTAAAGTCCCTCCTGTGGTGAAAATCAACTTTTAATGTTGGTTACTGTATATGTCTATGTGGTGTTTTTAATATGCTTTAAGACATATTTATGATAATTCAGAAGTGGACAGCATTGCTGAGTATTTTCTGCTTAAAACTGCAGTGAACCAAAGACACGGTGTGAAATCGCTGGTGTTTCTGACGTCACAAACCACATTGTAACCAGATCAACGTTATCATTAAAGGAGAACTCCGGCGCTAAATGAGCCTTTGGTCTAATAAAACATCGGTATCTAGTCAATCTCTCTCTGAGATTTGTTTTCATGATAATTGAATGTAAAGTGTTTTATCTCTAAAAACTGTTTAGCGTATAATGCTAGTACTGGGGGCATTGAATAAGTAGAAACAAATCGCTAGTTTATACCACTAACAAGGCTCAAAATAGCCCCACACTAACACAGTAACATAATGAGGGTCCGTACATGCAAAACGAAGCATTGAGAACTGTGTAAGTTTACAGACCGTTTAATAAGAAGATACTTAAGACATTTCACTTCGCGTATACAGACAGGAGCCATCTTAGAAAATAGTCTCGATAAGTCGATCCCCGAACGCCGTCCATACAGTTCAGATCACTCAGCACGACGTTCGTGGTTTGACTTGTCGTGACTGTTTTTTCCAAAGATGGCTCCTGTCTGTACACGAAGTGAACGGTCTTTATAAAGTATCTTCTTATTAAACGGTCTGTACACTTACAAAGTTCTCAATGCTTCGTTTTGCATGTAGGGACCCTCATTATGTTACTGCGTTAGTGTGGGGCTATTTTGAGCCTTGTTAGTGATAAACTAACTGTGTTAGTGTTGTTAAAAAAAAAAAAAAAAGACAAAGATAGAAAAAGAAAATATGCCTACCTGCTATGCAGAGGCCAAATATGGTGAGCAGTACCAGAATATAAAGGGACACAATGGCATATTTGATTGCAGTGAAGGAATCCGATTGACCACAGCAATTATATGTCTTTCTCCTGTACTTTGAAGAACCAACTGTGAAAGATAAACACTGATCAACAGGGAGTCTAGAAAGGAAACACACAGACTTTAACATCAGGGACTAGAGAGGTAAATCCAGTTTAGAAACTGTGGCCTCTTGTCCTTAGATGGGAAATCAGTTGAGAGAGTGTCTTCATACAAGTACTTGGGGATATGGATAGATGAAAAGCTTTCCTTCAATGAACATATTTCTGTTTTAGTTAAGAAACTTAAAGTCAAGCTGGGATTCTATTTTAGAAACAAATTTTGTTTTACCTTTTACCCATTTTAGATTCAGTTTACCATGCATCACTACGATTCATAACAAATACAAAGTCCCTCACCCATCACTGCATTCTTTATGATTTAGTTGGTTGGACATCACTTAAAATTCGTAGACAACAGCACTGGTATATCTTTATTTATAAAGCTATACTTGGCAATCTTCCACTGTACCTCTGTAACCTCCTCTCTAGCCATGTTTCCATCCACTTGTCAATCGAATTATCTGAAATTCGGTTAAAAAACTCATGCGGATAAAGCTGGTGAAAGTGTGTTTCCATCCAACGGCTTTAAAGCGAATAAAAACCTGTACGTAATGACGTCACATGCTGTTTTGCGATCAAATTGGTATATCGAATTGATTTGAGACATTTTAAGGTGTTTCCATTTATTTTCGCACTGAATCGAACAACATTCAAGCAAACTTTTGCGAACAAAGTTTTGTTGGACAAAACGGATCGCGCCATCTACCAAAAATGATCAATATTTCACAAGTTGAAGGCTAATAATGCTTATGTGCCAGCTGATAGCGACATATGAATGGGATAATGTAGTTGTTGGTTGTATTCGCTATAACAACCGCCTCGCTACATACTATCCTGCTTATTACATATAAATCAACCAAATAAATAAATAAATAAATCATTTGACACAAAATATTGACTTAAAAACGAGTTTATTGATTTAAAAACGAGTATTGCTTCTGCTAAAGAAAATAGTCTGTCCCGTCTCTGAACTGCGTCGATGGCAACGGTGTGTTATACAAGCAGCGCCGCAGTCTGTTAACTAGAAATAACAGACCACATTCTACATTAGAATACAACTAAGCCACGTAAAAACAAGCAAAACTAACCCAAGAAAACAACGACGCTGCTATGATGATGCGATGCCGATGCACGTATGCCCGACGACAGCGGAGGTGACTGTGGTTTGGGAACGAGCGCTCCATCAGTTCTGGGAGATCGTGGTTCACGGAAACCCTTTGGTTGAAGCATCTTTTTGCTTTGTCCACTTACATCTGTCTTTGTTGACATCCGCCATGTGTGCGCAAACAGACTGGCCGGAAATGAACTCATCTTCTGACGTGTTGCAATCATAAAAGGGCATAAAACTTAATCGCAATTCATTATTTATTCGGCAAATAACGTTTCCATCAGCTTTTATCGCATTAGCCGTATATCGATCAAGAGAAAATTCGATGAGACCGAACGTTTTTCATTTGAGTCGATTTTCATGAAATTTCATAGAATTTTACTGTTTCCATAAGGCATTTTTCATTCGATATCACTTAATTCGGATAAAAACGTGTCGATGGAAACATGGCTTCTGTCTGCTCTGGTACCTATCAGCTACGCTCCTCGAAGTGGTTGCTTTTTAACGTGCCACGAGTTGCAACCGAATTGGGAAGAACTGCTTTCTCTTATTTAGCACCTTGGGGGTGGAATAATCTACAAAAAGAGCTAAAAATAGAAACCCTTATGAACATTAATAAATTTAAAGTCCCCGTGAACCGGAAGTTGCAAACGACTTTTCTCCAGTGTTGTGACGTATTTCCGAGAGAAACGGAATACTAAATGAGGCAAAATAGTGGGCGTGGCTTTTTTTTCCAACTAGCACCTGATTGGATCTAGAAAAATGGGGTCTTTCATTCTGAAATGGAGGATGACGCAAGTTTACACACACTGTCAATCAATGCTCTCTCGGCGCTCGCAGTTGAAGGGGTGTGGTTACGGATGTTAAGCAGACACCCAAACTGTAAAGCCTACGTCATCAGGCAAGGTCCTCCAATGCAGAGGGGAGGGGCATTTTCAAAATTTGATTAAAGATTACGAAGCCAAAAAATTTTTTTGTCTGGATTGACTTTCAAGTATGAATCAATTGAATCACCACAAAACGATCAATTTAGGCAAACAAAGAAAGTATGGTCAATTTTGATTTCATAGGGACTTTAAAACTACTGTAAGGAGTGCTGTGATGGAGACATGTTCTTGTTTTTCTTGAGTCTCATTGCGTTCTTAACTCATTTGTGTTCTTAACTTCTTTTATCATGCAAATGTAACTTGTTTATTATATGTATTTGTTGTGATTTGGCTGCTACCTTGGCCAGGTGTCTCTTGTAAAAGAGATTCTGAATCTCAATGGGATCTCCTGGTTAAATAAAGGTATAATAAAGAAAGACTATAGCGTTGACTCCATTCCAAAATTTTCGTTTCGTTAAGATGAGGTAATTTAATACCTCTGTATCGATAATAATTGATACCATAGGTGACTCAGCAGCCTCAAAAGATAAGAAGAAGCGGAAGTTTTTGTTATTTAAAGAGTGCGTTAATAATGTGCGCCTATAATGCGGGTCCACATTGCACGTACACTCTGCTTATTACTAGGGTTGGGTATCGAGAATCGAGTATCGATTGGAACCGGGACTAACTTTTCGTTTTTCCCGGAATCGTTCAAAAGTTCAAATTTCGATTCCTAGTTTCAATATTCACAGTCCGCCGAGCGGAAGAAGAAACCGCTGAACAACACCAACGAAGAAGCGTCTACCGGAAATGTTGGCATAACCGCGCGAGTCAAACAGGAGCTTACGTCGGCGGTCCAAAGTGTGGCTTCACTTTTCTAAAAATAACGAAATCTCGGCAAAATGCAAAATTTGTGTTTGTGACAGAAGGAGTATTTCCTTCAGAAAGACCGTTGGTTAGCAAGGTTAGCTAAACTTTTTTGACCCTGCCTCTTAAAAGAATCGGAATCGAGAATCGTTAGGAAACGGAATCGAAACAAGGAATCGGAATCAGAATCGTTCAAATTCAAACGATACCCAACCCTACTTATTACACACACAGCAGCACTCAAACATGACAAATGAAAATAAAAGGACTACAATGTAAAATATTAATATTGTGTACATAAAGACATGATGGAATTTGTCTTTTCCCGTAGATGGTTTGCGTGCTTTAACCTCACACACAACCAGATCCCTTTGCACTTTGGAGACGCATTCAGTCTTTCCGTTTGCAAATTGCATTATGTAAATACTACACAGATGTAAAAAATGTTAAACACTACTATTAAAAGATGTCAAAGATAGAACGCGCCATATTGACAACTGATCTCGCCCAGTATGGCCGCCCAAACTGCCCATTTGAATGAGAGAGAAAGACAGAGATACATGGATACAATTTTAATTGTAGGTTCTGATGCTTTTTTGTTACCCCCAGTTTTCTTTTGTCCTTTATTATCTGCCCCAGACTCGCCCCAATTTGCCTTCCATGATATATATATATATGAAGAGTTCAGATGCAAAAGCCTCTAAATGCCATTTGAAATTTTCTTCTTTAATAATGATTTTTATCAAACTTGTATATTTAAGTTCAGTAATTTCAGTTAAATAACAATTAATAGGTAATTATCATTGCCATTTAAGTGAAATCACTGAACTTAAATATACAAGCTTGATAAAAATGATCATTCTAGAAGAAAATTTCAAATGGCACTTAGAGGCTTTTGCATCTGAACTCTTCATATATATATATATATATATATAGTGTATAACCCCTCCCCATACAGTGGGCATCGCTTGAAGGCTTTCAAGAGTACAGACGTGTATCAATATGCTGTGACTGGATGGGTAAACGATGTAAAAGTGTGGCACCTGGCCACGAAGGATTTATATTTAATCATGGGAAATGTTGGTATTATAAAAAATCAAATGTATGGTTAGGTGGTAGTTTGCTCTGACTAGGTAGTGAGCTGTTAGCTTGCCAGCTCTTAGCCACGGCTCACGGCTAGCTGTCATTAATCTAGATTAGGCCTGTTGCCATAGTCAATAAAACAATTAATCGCACAATAAAAAAATGAGGATAATTTCCATTTGTATGCTTTGTTTTCCTCGTCTCTTTCTCCCACAACCAAAGAGACTGGATGACAAATCTGTTTAAGACATAACTGACTTATTTTACGATATACTGTATATGAATACTCTCCAAAAAGGACATTCAAACATAATGTTGTGTGTATTTGTCCATTCAGTCAGGAAACAGAGCTCAATCCATTACTCGCGCACTGTATAGGGCTCTATGGCTGCATGCCAGAGATGGGGACTCGAGTTTGAGACTCGTACATGTGAAGTGAATGGTTTCACTCAGTGAGGGTGTATTCACACCAGGAAAGTCCGATAGTTCACTTGCATTGGTCCGGACCAAATAAATAATTATTATTATTTTTTTGGTACGGTTCGCTTTCACACTGCTCTTTTTGCAAGTGAACCAAAATTTGTAAACAAAACCACACGTGCGCTAAGGTCGTCCATTCATTGGACAAGGATTCTCAAGGGAAATCAGGAAGTGCAAAAAAGGCTCAGCATGGAGATATTTCCCTATATTTCATACTGCAATATTTGTTCTTTTACTAATTTTGTGTTAATTCTGTACAAACGCAATATGAAGAAACTAATTAGTATCATATGATACAATGTCATCTATACGATGTTGTAATTCAGATTTTGAGACGACGACGAGTGTAACGTTCTATTAAACGCGCGGAGTATTTCTATTAAACGCGGGGAAATACGACAACTCTCGTATCTCGTGCATCTTTTCATTCAATCATCTACTTTTTTTAAAAATTTGTGTTACAAGTGGCACTGCACAGAAGACGGATACGGTATAAAGTTTTCATTCATAAAGAGGGGCTACTGTATGTTCACACATTCAAATAATGAGATTCTTATTGTGTACTAACAAGTGCTGTCAATGTTAACGCTTGTGATTAAGTTTGTCCAGTTTAACGTAAATTAACACATCATCATCCTTGTATTGTAACTATCCTTACATTAAAGGGTTAGTTCACCCAAAAATGAAAATTCTGTCAGTATTTACTCACCCTCATGTTGTTCCAACCCCGTAAGACCTTCGTTCATCTTCGGAACACAAATTAATATATTTAAGATATTAATATCGCTCCTGCATACAGTCCATAGGCTTCTTGAGGGACTGGCTCTTGCTGTCCTCGAAAAGTCATTAAAGACATCGTTAAAATAGTCCAAGTGACTACAGGGGCTCAATCTTAAGATTATCAAACGACGAGAACACTTTTGTGCGCAAAAAAACAACAAAAATAACGACTTTATTTCAACTATTCGTTTATTTCTCCCTCTGCGCGAGTCAGGTTACTAGTTTAATAGCGTAAGCTTCTGTTATTGTACGTCACACGCATCACACACACATGACCAGCGTCGGCCAATAGTGAGCCTACGTGTGACGTAGCTCTACGCAATCACACTACGTTAACTGACTGACAGGCTCATGGAGAAGGAAGTGAATAGTTGAAATAAAGTTGTTATTTTTGTTGTTTTTTTGCGCACAAAAGTGTTCTCGTCGTTTGATAAACTTAAGATTGAGCCCCTGTAGTCACTTGGACTATTTTAACGATGTCTTTAATGACTTTTCGGGGACAGCAAGAGCCAGTCCCTCAAGAAGCCTATGGACTAGTATACAGGAGTGATCTTAATATATAAAATATCTTAATTTGTGTTCTGAAGATGAACGAAGGTCTTACAGGGTTGGAACAACATGAGGGTGAGTAAATACTGACAGAATTTTCATTTTTGGGTGAACTAACCCTTTAATAATAATAATATTAATAATTCATTACATTTATATAGAACTTTTCTCGGCACTCGCTTTACATAGAAGGGGGAATCTCGTCAACCACCACCAAAAGGTGGTGAACTGCAAATGCTTTATGAACTGCAAATGATTTTTTTTTTTTGCATCTGCGCGATTAGACTAAAGAGAACGCTCTGTATGTGAATGTCCTGATGCACGCACGCACTCATTCATTCATTCATTCCATTCCAATGATGCACACACGACACGCAGAAAGACGCGCAGCAGTATCGTGTGGCCAGACAGCGCACCGCAATATTCTCTTTCGATGCAGTGCTTTCTTGCAATTGGGTCGGTTCATGTTCACACTGTAAACGAACCGTACCAGAGTTCGGTTGGAACCGTACCGAGACCACCTCTTCAGCTGGGTCTCGGTTTGGTTGTTTGGTCCGCACCCGAGTTCGATTGCTCTATTCACACCTGCCCAAAAGGTCCACACCAAGGGGGCAAACGAACTAGAGTTCGATTCAATCGAACCAAACAAGGCAGGTGTGAATACACCCTGAGTCTCAAGTTCCACTTTTAGTGTCTAAGCTATTTAATTTAGTAAAAACAAAAAAAGTGTGAGAAGTTTGTTTGGTCACATCATTAGAAATAGTCATGTTTGTCATGTTTAAACGATGACAACTGTGTCGTAGTTGTGTTTAACTTTTTCCTGCCTGTGTTAAGCATTTTGCAACATCAGTACATCACAGTATGTGTTTTAGTGAGGGAGAATGTGTTTAGAGTTTTGCAAAAAAGAGTGCAGGAGATTTGCAAATGGTGTCTAAATGCCTGAACTTGAGGTATTTGTAACAGGGTGCGGTTGAAGCAAAGATGAAGCAGGATCCAAAAGCAACACACGCTTTATTAAACAGACTATAAACTAAACTTGGATACAGGACTCGGGACTCAGGAACAGGACATGAGTACAAGAACAACCAACATCTAGGTTAACAGTCAAACATTGAACAAGAACTCACAAAGACAAGGCTGAAACACAGGCCTTAAATAATCAGGGACAAACAAGCTAGACAAGATAACAAGCAGGCGTGGGAAATAAGAAACACCTGTGATAATTAATAGACAGGGAACCATAGAAAATGACAGGACACAAACCCACATGGTGACAGTATTACAGTTAGAGTGATTTATTCGACAAAATAGAGTCGAATAGAGAATGGGGTTTAGTGTTTAAGCGTTTCAGAAAAACTGTAAATAAAAGTTTTGCAATTATTGAATTATATGATCACTGCTTGCAGATCAATCATCCCTTTAACGATGTGAAAGTAACTATGAATAATTCACCTCAGATTTTAGGATTAAAGGAAACAAAAAAGGTTCAGTCAACTCAAACTCAATGTGAACAGTCAAGTGTGTTCAGTGAAGTCACTCAGTACACATCTTTAATAATGCTGTGAGTCACTTTCTAAAACTTTGGTGAGAAGTAGGACAATCCAAATTGGTCTGTTATTAGCAAATATAGCAAGGACTGATTGAGGTTTCTAAAGAATTTGAGTGACGACAGCAATTTTGAGATCTTCAGGGACAATATGACTGATCAAAAGCAAAACGGAAAGATAGACAGACCGTACAAAAAGAGGCAGACGCAGTCAAAGAAGATGTTTATGTCATAAATAACTCAAATAAATAACTGCAGGTAATAAAGAAATAGAAAGAAGAAGATACTAACCTTCTTCACATAGGTTGAGTTTTGATAGATGCATCCCATCGTAGCCCTCCTCATAAAATGAGCTGTTATCCCTATCTTCACTGTTGGTGGTCAGATACATTGCCTTGTTCTCCATTCACAACCCACTGCAAAAATGGCAAACAAAAGGTACAAAAGAAATTACTCAATGGAAAGAACAAGCTTGTCTGTGACAAATTAGTTGCGAATAAAGAGGAGAAAAAGTCTAATTGCAGCAGATTTCGATTTTATTAACAACTCTCAAAACAAAATACATCCGCCGAGAACAGATAAACAGCGGAAAGAAACACGGAGCTTAAATACCCAAACAAACTAATCAATGAAATGAACAGGTGCACATGATAATCAAAATTTATGAAAAACCCTGGAAACGAACTGAAGATATAGGCAACATCATTAAAAACCACCCTACAAACACACATTACCTATCGTTAGGGTTGGGTATCGTTTGAATTTGAACGATTTTGATTCCGATTCCGATTCCTTGTTTCGATTCCGGTTCCTAACGATTCTCGATTCCGATTCTTTTAAGAGGCAGGGTCAAAAAAGTTTAGCTAACCTTGCAAACCAACATCCTTTGTGAAGGAAATACTCCTTTCTGAAGGAAATACTCCTTCTGTAAAAATACTCCTTTTGTCACAAATTTTGCATTTTGCCGAGATTTCGTTATTTTTAGAAAAGTGAAGCCACACTTTGGATCGCCGAGGTAAGGTACTCATGTTCGACTCGCGCGGTTATGCCAACACTTCCGGTAGACGCTTCTTCGTTGGTGTTGTTCAGCGGTTTCTTCTTCCGCTCGGCGGACTGTGAATATCGAAACTAGGAATCGAAATTTTAACTTTTGAACGATTCCGGGAAAAACGAAAAGTTAGTCTCGGTTCCAATCGATACTCGATTCTCGATACCCAACCCTACCCATCGCAGCTGTGACAAACAAGGGATTTAGTTAGATTTGTACAATTTTAGTATACAATTTGGCCATCTTTTCACTTTTAGAACTTTTTGTACCATTTCACTTTCTCATAAATAACAATGTCAATGAAAATGGTAATTATTACATAGAGGTCATCAACAAAGGTACAAAATCACATATAAAGATTTGATTTTGGTTTACTTGTGAGTACATGTTTTTTTTCCAGTATGGGGGAAAAATGGGTGAAATTACTACATTTTTAACAACAGAAAGTTACTTTCAAAAGGTGATTTAGTCCTACTGTTGACATCAGTGTTTATCTCTGAACAATAAACTTTTATACCAGTACTTCTGCAATAATCTGAATTATTGTATGACAGAAATAATAAAACTGTGTTTGAAAAGACTATGTATTTATACATAACAACTCTCTGGATCAGATCTGAATGTTCGCTGTGATCGGACTTGTCAAAGGTTTAATAGACATCAAGCCGCATCGCTGTCATTTAGGAATACGATAGTTGTATAAGCCACTTTGAATAGCACCTGCTAAATTAATAAGTGTAATTATTTGTGTTTTACTTTATTAGTATTTTTTAGGAATATTTTATTTTAGGTGTGGCGGTATCTCACATGACAAGCACACCGATTGTGTTTTCTCAATTAGGGGGGATTTTTATTTTAAAACTATAGTTTTATTTAGCATTTATTAAGGACATCGTTAAATGAGTATGGCTACACTGACCCTCACAGGTAATTTATAAAAACAAAATGTTAAGAAATGGTTTCTGTGGAAATATTACAGGGTTTGTAAAGAGGACTTTGTAAACAGGACACACTGCCATCTCACTGTTCGCTGAGCTCGAAATCTAGGAAGAAAGATTTAACATAATATTGGGGGTGGGGGTTTCTATGAATGTATCTCTGAAGGGAACTGACTGTCTTCAGAAAAGTTTGGATATTGGAATCAACCAATTTGCTAGTAAAAAATGTTTGGTGCACTAGAAATGTTGAAAAATGTTGTTTAAACATCATCACAATATACCCCGATGTGGGAAACTGCAAGGTTGAGGTGATTACGATTATGATCAGGAGTCTTTTATATTGGATATTGTAACTTAATAATGTAACAAGACAAAAACTCTCCACCAAAGCCAGAGAACTGGACTATTCTCCATCTCAGCATAGCTATATGAGGATAAAGCTCACACAAAAGTCAAAGTCTGAAGAATCTACTTCTGCCCGAATGGTCATTGTCACCGCCGTTTACTTCTTACAAAACAAACAGAGTCCAGTTTAAAAATATAATTAAAAAGCACTCAATCTGGTCTCTCTGATTACACAAGTGCACACTGACAGTTTGGCACAAAGCGTGGACAGCACTGTGAGCTCATGTGGCTGCTATGCAACTCAGATTACTGTAAATCTACTGGATAATGGAGACAAAAAAAAGAGAGAGCTAGCAAACCTTTTCACTTTTTCAGTTCCCACATCTGTCTCTAATATTTGTTGCAGACTGCATCTTACATGAGAAGTTGCATGCGTTTGGAGCAGCAATCTGTTTCCAAAAGCATCATAACACAATAAAATAGCATAACACAATTGTTAACATTTTCATCATCATGACAATAGAGGACAGGTTTATGATTAATGATGATAAATGACTTCACTTAGCTATGTTATACGGTAAATAAAGATGCCTTGTGCTAAGGGTGAGTTAGGTAACATCATTATGTCCCTTTAATTAATGTGCAATTATTGCGCAAAAACCCACTGCTATGCCTTGCTCATCCCATATACTTACTTAGTAGATCATTCCATTGTGTGCTGTGGCTAGTATTTAACCCGAAAGATTCGGTTGCAGATAATTTGGTATTTTTTAAATAAAAAAATATGGAATCACTGTCCACAAATGAATTAAGTTAAATCAAAGATTGCCAAGGTGCATGCATTGCTTCCAACAGCCTCAAGTATCTTCACAAATACCGTATCTGGCTGTAAGTGGTGACATTTCATACAAATCTGCGAGATGTGAAACTTGCACTAAATGATTGTTTGACAACGAAATAGAAACTTTTTTGATCGCAACCAGCACACGAGGCAGGAAAATAGTAATACAATTCCACAATACCGAGAATAAAAAGTAGACAGCTATCCTAAATGTTCTACAATATTCGTATACTGCCTCAATTCGACCTGTCGGCTCTGAACGACATCATCACCAGAAGAAAAAAGCTGTTTGTGTCATTACCGGAGTCAAGTGGGTGCTGAAGCCGCAGGTTCTTGTTCGAGCTGATGCTCTCACTGTGGAGACTGAGCAGAGCCAAGATCCGTCAGCTAAAAGATATTTCGTTTTTTGTTGTCGCGCTACACGGACACCAGACCTGCGTAACGTTTCTGCAAATTATGTGTACAGAGCAAACATATTCTTGCCTCAATCCATCGTCAAGCGTCCTTCTCACTCAAGAAAGTGTCCAATTTCATGCGACTCCCACATGTGGGAAAACACACAAAAGTGCTTCCCAGGGTTGCCAGATTGGGTAGATTACCATCACAATCAACGAGTAGGCTACATGCAGACCAGAAAAGCGCTTATTGCGAGAAAGCTTCGCCATGAAATAACAATTGGCATTATTTTTTATAAAATAATACCAGAAATGCTGCCTGCAGGTAAAAGAAAATATTTAATTGCAGTGATATTCACATTGTAATAACATGTTCACATTTAAATTATATCAATTTAGCTAAATATCAATTAGTGCTGCTTTTTAGACGTTTGTTTAAATAGAGATTTCAAACTACAAAAAAACATATGAAAGCAACACTCTTAGAAGAAAAGGTTCTATATAGAACCTTAAAAGGTTCTTACAGCGCTACGTATTGGAACCCCTATATGGATATGATTTAACGTCATACTGTCACATGTCATATCCATCATGTCATTTTGTCAACATAGCCTATACTTATGAAGCAGAATAGTGGGTCATATCTAATGCTTTTTGAAAATTTGAGGCTCTCTTCATAAAACGAGTCAGACATCATCGCATTCTAATATAGCCACAACAAACTCAAATTCACTGATTTACGTACCTCATTTCATGCTTTAACAGTTGAATTTTAAACTTCCATTTAATAATGATACATTATTATATCACTTGTTAAATGGTTATTTAATAATTACATTCAGTCATTCTTAAACAGATTCGGGTTATTTGCAGATTTGGTGTGCGCTCACGCGCTCTGCTCACGCACGTGGCTTCGGATGCGCGTGCGTGCATACGAGTGATTCGGGTATGAGTTGCTATGGCGACGCGTCTTATGAATTTTGAATGCAAATATCAACACTTTGATCGCTGTTGGTTGGTTGAGAGTCGAGACGATTTCAGAGACTTTTGCTGAAAATTTTCTTGTGCTGCACTTGAGATTTAAGCTGTTCGGAGGATTTCAGAGAGGAGACTTTTATTCTAGAAGGAGATCGGATAATATATCCTACATCGTTTTTTTATTTATTTTCATTTAATATTATTTCTGAGGGTCGACGCTTTAATTTGATTGTTCTTTTCTTATTTTGGCGGGAGTTTGAAGTTTTATTTGATTAATTTTTTTATTTTTATTTATTTATTTTTTGTTTATTTTTTTTGGTTTTGGGTGGGGCATTTCTGAGGAGCATTGTATTTTGTTGTATTGTATTTTGTATTGTATTGCTCTTGTTTGCAGGAGGATGCCAGGCCCGACCCGGACTCAGAGCCAGGAGCTTATTCCTGGATCTTTAACATCTCTGTCTTGTGAGTTTGTTTCTGTGTCCACAGGTCCGGCTCACAGGAAGAGAGAGTGGCAGAGAGACAGGCAGCAGAGCCCAGATGATGGACGTCCGTCCACTTCTCCTCAAGACTCTCGCAGAGCAAAGGCAAAGGTAGGGTGACCAACAGTCCTGTTTTCACGTCCTGTCCTGGCCCTCCTGGCTGTTCTTTATAAAGTGATGAAAATGTCCTGGTTTTCAAAAAACTGCTGGGAAAGATCAGCTCTACAGCAAAATATAGATGGGCAAGGAAGAAAAACAGGATAAAGAGGAAGAAAACTAAAGATATAAATATATTTTGTTAGTTCTTTTTGGCAAGTTTGTGAGAGATATTTTGTTCGATTTGGAGGTATTTCTTTTAATTATTTAGTTTTTATATTTACTTTTGTAATACAGAAGAGACATTATTTCATTATTTTTGAAACCTGTCATAATAAAACGTTGAGTAACCTCTGAGAAGCCAATCTGAATTTGTGTCTTGTAATGTAACAATTTTCTATTTATACAGAGGAGGAATAGCCTACTTTCATTGTATTGAAATTAATAAGGCATCTTTGAGTAAACTTTGAGTATCTGTTTGCTGGGCCGAGTGTCCTGGTTTTTGGTAATCAAAATATGGTCCCCCTAGACAGAGGAAGAGGAGATGCCAATGAGGAAGAGGAGGAGGATGGAGAGTTTGGTGAAGCCTCATTCCTGTGACTGGAGCGGCATCATCCCAGACCGGAGAACTGCAGCGATACCTGAGAGAAGAGCTGAGGGTAAATCAAATGACCATTGGAGAATATTATCACTGGAGTGTCATTAATTACCATATGTGACCACACCACATTATATCAAAATACAACTGAAGTTTGATCAAGCCAATAATCAGATTTATTTTTTATTCCAAGACACATCATAACATATTTAAACAAGGATTGGGTACAAATTTCAAGAATACCCATAATTTGAGTTTAATAATTATGATTAGTTTGAAACATGCTTGTGTGTGATATTCCTGCTTTAGAGGATCATGGTCTTCAGGACGCTGTATCCAGTGGTGTTGAAGATCAGCGGGTTCAAACCCCTCCAGCTCCAGCTCTTCTCCAGGAATGCTTTAAGGTATTGGCCCTAATCAGCTACAAATGAATTTGAATATATATATATTAACATTTGGAAGATGTTGACATCTTTTTGTGCACATGTTTGAAATGTTCTTTGTTTATTGTGATCTGGGAAGAAATGAAGGTCAAATCTCTTGTGTGTGCTCTGTGTAAATCATCAGCCTGTTAGTGAGGAAAGTGCTAGTCAGGAGAGAGCGAGGAAGAAGAGTAGTGTAGATCCGCTGTCTCTCCACTGGAGTTCAGGTCAGGGGTCGAGAGTGGAGGATCAGACCACTGCAACCATTAGTGAGAGACACGCCGAGGGTAAATCCAGTCGCACCAGTTGACAATGTGGAAATGCTCTGTTTATTAGTGCTCTGTACATCAGAAAGTCTGCATCATTTTCAGCCAGATATGAGGATCCATTCATGGAAACTTAATTAATTAATGAAGGGGATTTTTCTGTTCCCTCGGATGAAGTGCTGTTAATGTCACAAACTCACACCTGTATCAAAATCCAAACGTTTGATCAAAGTATGTCTTAAATATTTAAACAGAACTTTTATTTTGTAAAGCAGAGGATCCTGGTCTTCAGCGGGTTCAAACCCCTCCAGCTCCAGTCCACCACAGTCCAGTCCGTCCAGCACCGGCTCACAGCGACAGAGCGGACGCGACAGCGGAGGGTGAGTGACGGCCGTGACCTCAAGCATTAAACTCACGGCTGTCCATGACACTAAAACCAATCGTCTTTTTGCAGACGGCATTTTGAGGCGGTATGAGATGGGCAGAATGCTTGGTGAGGGATCGTTCGGCTCTGTTTATGAAGCCAAACGCTTGGAGGACGGCCTTCAGGTATCCGCATTTGCTCACAATTCTTTTGTCTCACTATTTCCATTTCAAGTCTTTTAGTGGATATTTCCCACTATTTACTGCATTTGACGTTAGAAATATAACGTTGTTTTTTCGGGCGATCAGGTGGCGGTGAAAATTGCCAGTAAGCCGAAGGACACGAAATACATCCACATTGTAAGTCGGCTACACTCACTGTGTGTTTCTGAAATGAAAGTATGTAAAGATAATGACAACACCTTCATATAACAATGATCTTTGTTCCAGCCTGGTCATCCCGCACCCGTCCCATTAGAGGTCGGCCTGTTAACCCTTGCTAACAGCGGCCCCAAAGTCTCCGAGATCATCGAGCTGCTGGACTGGCAGGACCAGCCGGACCGATACATCATGGTCTTGGAGCGTCCCGCACCCTGTACAGATCTGTGGGAGTACTGGAACGATCACGAAGGAATCCTACATGAGGACACAGCGCGGGTTATTATGGCGCAGGCAACAGTGGCGGCTCACGTGTGCTGTCGCCGTGGAGTGTTTCACCGGGATATTAAGCTGGAGAACCTGCTGATCAACACCGAAACTCTGGAGGTCAAACTGATCGACTTCGGGTGCGGGGATCTCCTGCGGGACTCTGGCTATGAAACATTCTGTGGTATGAATCATCAATCAATCCTGTAGTTTGGGTTCAGTCGGTGTCATATAAACCAGATCTCACATTTGAGGAGCGTTTTGGAAATGAAACACACCAGATGTTTTTAGCACATGCTCTGGTATTCACCCATCAGACGACTCTTCTTCCTGCAGGCACTCGCGACTACCGCCCGCCTGAGTACCTCACAGAGGGCAAGTACCACGGCAAACCAGCGACGGTGTGGTCTCTGGGAGTGCTCTTATTCCTGCTGGTGTGTGGACGCCTTCCAGAAGCACGAGACAGGCGAAGGATAGAAGAAGACGTCTGGTCTAAGCCGCGCTTGTCCAACGGTAAGATGGCGTTCATCACAACAACTGTCATTTAAATCATACAAAACAAAGACATTATGAGAAAGTTACAGCAAAAGATAGATATTGGAGAATACAAGCATTTGTTCAGGTTTTCTGAGCGTACTTTATAGAATAGTGTAATCTTCCAGCTTAACACACAGACAGCCGGTGTAAAGTTGAAGGTAATAATCGGACTCGCTTCTATCGCTCTGCACAGAATGCTGCCTCCTGATCCGATCCCTCCTGAAGGAAAGCCCAAGACAACGCATTTATTTGAGGAAAATCCTTCAGCATCAATGGTTTACGGTAATGAGCCTCAGATCAGCTACTAATGATTTAGAAGATTAAACTCACTTTCATTTGAAACATTTTACTTCTGATTGTAATCTATGACTGTAACCTTGTTTGTTTGTTTGTTTGGGGTCCCAGAATAAGCCATGAAGAGGAGTGTGAGGAAGGATTGGACTCTTAGTTCGTGTGAAAGCTGCTCTCCACAGATCCTGCACTGGATCCAGAGTTTCAGTCTTCGGCTGCTTTACAGATTTTTTTAACCTTTTGTACTTTGACTGAATCGTCGGCTCGTCTGTTTGCTATTCTCCTCGCTGCCGGCTGTGAGTTTGGTTGCGTCGTGGCTGTCTAAGCCTCGTATTAGCTTCGCATTTCCTTCTGTTTTTCCGTATTTCTTTATTTTATTCTATTCTGATCCATCATTTAACTCAAAATTACAACTCGGACTGTTGGTCAGACGCGTCTCATGCCATTATACGGTTGGAACTGCAAATACGGCTGGAGCGTTTGGTTGTTGGTTGTAGAGCGAGACACTGCTTCACTGCTGCTCGCCCTGCGATCGACTAAACTAAAGACGCATTTATTTAGCCAGGCATTCATATAATTTTTTTTTTATCTTCCAGTTACTGTAAATTTGGCCTCTAGTTGATAAACGGCAGAGGAGAACTGGCCCCCGACTGAGCCTTTTTCTCCATCGGGTCACTTGATGGAGTTTTTCGGTTCCTTGCCACTGTTGCCTTTGGCTTGCTCAGTTGGGGATATTCAGATTAAATGACCCATCATACCATTGATCAGCTCCACCAAACTTGGATGTCTTTTTTTTTTTCCAGTAATAAACAAACACTGTTAAGTTCTTTTGATTGATACTGTGAAGCAGCTTTGATAAAATCTGTATTGTGATTATTATTATTATTCATGTATAATGTGTTCTTGTATAATGTGTTCTTGTATAATGGCTGTTATTGTTTATTAACTATTATTGATCAGTAAATAATATTTTGTAATAACAATATATTGGCGTACCTGATTTTGAGAGATGGTGTGTGTGTTTGACCGCTTAACACTGTGATTGCTATCAGGATATGAGGAGACTTTCAACCTGCATAATAAAAAAATAAATTGTAGACAGTCACCTATTGCACCTCAGCATTTTCCACACACTTTTATCTTTATATGGGAAAAAAATATATTTATTTAAAAAAATGTAATGCCAAGATATAAAAAATACAAGTATATAGCAAAAATGTAAAAGTCGCATACAATTAAATGGTAATAAAATCCATATTTAATACATATATACATGGGCCTATACATAGAGATTTCATATAGCCTATATATACATGTAAAAACAAGAAAAACAGAACAGAAAACTTGACTGAAATGAGTTAAAAAGTTGAAACAAGGTTACTGAGCTTAAAGATTCTCAGATGATGAAATATTTTGGATGTACTGTTGGACCTCTCTCCTAAAAACAGTGAATAAAGGATTTTGAAGAGAGAATTTAATAGCAATAATAGATTAATAATAAAGTATTCAGTCGTTTGAGCTTTTTGTATATTAAAAAAGCAAAACATTACATCCTTAAAAAAAGAGAGAGAAACCCGGAAGAACATTGCAGTTAATTCGTCCCAAAATTGGTCAAAACAGTTTGTGTGTGTGTGTGTGGACAATCCCAGAAGATGTGAGGAGCAGTTTCATCAGGGCACCACAGAAAGAACAACGTGTGTCTATATCTGACTTAAACCTTTTCAAAAAAGCTTTAGCAGGGTTAAATTTGTGTAATAATTAATTACTAAAGTGTATGTTTTATCTTACACTACTACAAAATGCAAAAGGAATACGTGGTGTAGGCTTCAGGTAAGTATGTCAGAGCGGTGGCTTCCTGAAGTGCATGAAGTGAAATGGAAGTAATTTGAATTCACGTCCCCACCAACCTAATCCTAATAGTGTAAGCGAGACGCCCCTACCCCAAGATAATTTCAGAAATAACTGTCAAATATTTTAGTTTGAACAACTAATAATTTATTTTTCTTCCCTCAATAGGTTACGTATTTGCTGAAAAAGACAGCTCAAACAAATAAAATGACAATCAAAATAAAAATAAAATAACAGTTCTAGTGTTCTTGTTTTCTTGAATGATCTTCAACTGACTAATATATTCAGAACAACACCTCCAAAGTGTTTACCCAACCTTATTATCTGGATAAGGATATTCTCATTAAACACAGAAAAACTTATTCACAACCCTGAGTACAAATAACTTTTGTGATTCAATTCAAATAACTCATTCCATTAAATGACTCACTTCAAATGACCCATTTCACATGCATAGTTAACCTTGAAATCACTAAACGACTCTTTTGAATCAATCTTATGATTCAGCTTTCAATCAACTCAGCAATCACAGTTCAAACTTACAATTGAAACAATCAGTTTGTTCAAACATTCAGTTCTGTCCATTCTGATTCAGTAAAATGTTCATATGTTCATGTGTTCGTGTGTGTACTGAAATGTTGTACCAGTCTGTGGCAACGACGGCTTCGAAGCAATGACTTTGAAGACTTTTAGGAGATTCGTGAAGGCTTGTGATGATGACCTGTGATGATTAATGAACAGTTGAGACAGAACAGCGAGATGTCGTCAGGATGGCAGGGTAATAAGCAAAAAAAATAAAAATCACGAGAAAAGTTTCAGTGTGGCCCTCCAAAAAATCTTCCTAAAACAAAACGACTCAGTTCAGCTCTCACGCGGCTCGCGTACACGGAATGATCTGGATCATACAAAAAAAAAAATGTCTCTCAAAAATACACACTGGTCCGGAACGATTTTCAGTCCCTTTATAGACAAAACTAAAACGATTCACTCCAAAAACTACTCTTGCAGTCTGCACACGCGATCTTGTTCACTAACAAGTGCAAACTCTCGCTCCACACAGTTCACATCACTTCAGAAAAAAAAAAAAAAAAAAAAAAAGCAGTAGGCTCTTGAAAATACGTTCGGTTAAAGCAACGACGACACCCGGCAGTGTTATGAATGAACTCACGACTCCAGGCAGCAATCTTCCTCGTGCACTCAGCCAAGCTTCCAACACTGTTCTCCGTCCGAAGATATAACCGACCGAACTTCAGCTCTAACTGCGGTTCTCGTGTCACACGACGATATAGGTATACTCTAAACTCATAAAACTCAATCTGACAGTTTTACTTCTCGTTTTCAGCGAAACTCTCGAATTCTCCTGCTCACCCTTGTCCTTCCCAGACGTCTCTGCATCCCGCGCGAGCACACCGGAAAAAGAAAAACCCCGTCAAAATAAAAGTCCCGTTAGAAAAGTACCTCCGTTACAATATACTGTGTTCTTATACCTGTGTTGTTATACCTGTGTTCTTATATCTGTGTTCTTATACCCGTGTTCATATACCTGTGTTCTTTTATCTGTGTACATACCTGTGTTAGTTCGAGTGTTTACGATCAACTCTCGCGATCACCTGAGGTGAGGACGTACAACAGCGCGCTTGAGAGCTTTTGAGAGCAAGTCATGAAATTATTTATCATATCACTTTATTATGGGTTATTTGCAAATATCATAAAATAGAAGGCCGAATTTCCGATTCAAACATGTAAGGCTGAATGACATTCAAAACAGCGGTTTCTCTCACTCTCTCAGCCCTTCTGCTTAGACCGACTACCAGGTATCAAGTGACGCCCTCATCCAAAGGCAGGGCGGGGATATGCAGCTCATTTGCATTTAAGGTTGTATACACCAAAACAGCTCATTTTTAAACAGGCCCCAAAAATGACATTTTCAAATGGTTATGATGAATTAACTGTGGGGTATCTTCAACTGAAACTTCACAAATACATTCTGGGGACACCCGAGACCAATATTACATCTTGTAAAAAGGGGCATAATAGGTGCCCTTCAATACTGAATCAAAAGCACCTCATTTGTAATTAAA